GCGTGCGAGCAACTTATGCGCGTCGCATTTAGATCTTCGCCGTTTTCCTCAATCGCACCTTCGTAACAAACAAACGCGGAAGGTTTCGAACGTGACCACCGCGAGATGAGATGAGCCACCGATTCTGTGCCGATCACAAGTGCCGTCGCGTGGACGAGAATCTCGTTGATTGGCATTTGGCGGTGAAAGAGCAAATCGGAGAGAACGATCGTGGTCGCTCTTACGCCGCCATTGTCGCGCATATGTTAATGAATGTATATGTATGTATACGCTTATATGTGTATGTAATATGTATATCTGAAGTGTGTGTATATCGTGACATAATAATGTAAACGAGAAATCCAATTCAACGCACATACACTTGTGCATGCACAATCAATGGTAGCTTGTTCTACTCCAACATCTTGGAAACAAAAACACTAACATCTCTCACAAGAAAAAAAAAAACAATGACAACCTCGTGTTGTTCACTCTTAAGTTTTGTTTTGTTTTTTTTTTTTTACAATGCATAATTGTGAAACCAACTAACGCGAATAAACAATCTTGAAAACACTCGCGCGACGCTTTACGCTCTTCTCATTTGAATCTCGCGCTTGAGAGTTTCGCGACAGATTCCTGATTTATCACGCGGTCGTGTTTGGTGCGTCGCGCACTCCAGCTGGTGTTGCTTACACATCGTAGTCGCGCGCAGCTGGTACGATCCCGCGGAGCAGAGAGGGAGGAGAGGAACGATATACAACAACAAACAAGAAGGGAGAGCGGACAAGAGAATGCGCGGCGGATCTCTCGCGGATTTCGTGCATTGCGATTTTGCGAGATTACAACAACTTACCGGCCGCGGATTTGGCACCGCTTTTCCCATGATGCCTGCGGTACTTCTTTGCCAGGCAGCTCTTCAGCAACATCGTACACGCACACGTACGCGATTGTTTCCGGCGACGGCGCGTTCGCTACACATTATTATCCGACCACGCGGCAGCCATATTTGCTTTCTGCTGCTCGACTGGTGGAGTCTGCGGTCGCGTCACAAGGCCTCGGCTCGCTCCGGCCTTTGGCTCGCGGCCATGCCACCGCCGCGCGTGCTGACGTCACGTGGGGCTCGGATGCGCGCGCACGAACCACATGCGACTTGGCTGTGTTCAAACGCACACGATTGATTTATTAAAAGCTTTGTAAAAAAAAACATAGAAAAAGAGGAACTATTTTACTCAATTGATTCATGTGTCTTTTTATCGATATAGTAATAATTTTTTTATGTTCGTGCACATTTAATGCACTTACGTGATTACCTGAGCATGCGTAGAGTGAAAATGTCACTGTTTCAGCGGTAGAATAATAGACATGTTGGTTCTCAATTTTTTTTCTTATTCATGTACATAATCAGAGCGCGCTTTGATTGATCATCAAAGCGGTACTAGACTCCTTATCGTGTGTGAGTACACGTTCACGTTTTGTTTGCATACACATTAGCTCTATAGAGATTGGTGCGTGTATGTTATCTCTGCACACGAAATCGCGTCACGTGGTCATGGTAGCGCTGGAGAAGATATGTAATAATAAACATCAGAATAAAAAATAAAAACCAGCAATTTATGAAAAAATATTGTAAAAAAATTGAGATTACTGTATTATCTTTCTAAGCGATGTATACGTATATGATCTTATTAGGAAATGTAATATAAAAAAAATTTATATGAAAAGCAAGCACCTTTTGCGATGTTTCCACGTGATAAAAAAATGTTTAAAAAATTTATACGTTAAACGCACTTACAATTATGGAGAAAGAGGAATGATTTGAAAGGCAATAAGACGTAATAACAAAGATGTACTTGGGTGCGTGTAGGTATGGCCTTTTACTTCACACACAATCAATTTCTCGTTTTGACACACATTACTTCAAACAGAAACTGAAAGAAGTATATATCGAAGGCAGCCAAATATAATCGCGATACGATCATAATCTTATCCCGCTCGCATTTATATTTATATAATTTCTTTTATATATCTCGTCTATTTAACTTTTTTTTTTTTTTCACGCGTTTTTTTCACGTTTCTCATCACAAGAGACAATATCAAAGCCCAAGAATATATGCTACACCGAATGGACCGAAAGTCATTGCTCCGGAAAATCTGAAAGTTGAGATTTTATATACGTATATAAAAAATTTATACCGACAAAAATCTTTACATCATTACACTGATAATTAATACGTTAAAGAAAAAGCAATAATTATTTTTCGTAATTTTATTTTTTATGCAGACATATATAAATGTTATAATTACCTTAAATTTGTTTCCGGAATAGCAACTATTGGCCCATCACGTGCGTCATTGCGCAGAATACCAATTTATACATAGAGTGTCCCAAAAAATGCAAAATTTCTTTATAGAATGATTAAAAACTTCAATCCGTGACAGACGTTTACGATATCGCTACTTAATTTTTTGTGGGTCACTCTGTATATATATTTTAACGCAAAGTGAAAAAGACAATAACATACGTCACGTAGCGCCTATAATCATACACGAGGACACAATTTTCCAAAGAAGTACAACAATGATGCAAAAATAGATTACCCACTACCCATCGCGACACGACAAATTTCTCTTCGATTCATCTGAAATTTCTCGTCGTCCACTCTTTCTCCATCTTCTCCTTCCTTCCGCACATCAACTTCCACGCTTAAGTAGTTCGTGCAATTAGGCGTTGCGTAAGAATTCTTTATGCGGTCTCTCGATTATATTAAACAAAAAAATGTGTAATTTAAATGGAATCTGTTACAAGTATAGGTAAAAAATATTCAACATACAAAATGTAACAAGTAATTTTACATTTGATAATTGTTTCATTTCAGAATCTTGGACCCAAGAGTTCTCGATTCCTAGATTCCGCAAAGAAATCGTAAAATCTCGACTTTATAAGAAATTATTTTAAAAACCAATCAATTTTATAACCAACGGATATAGCAATGAATGTGTCTCCGATACAACTTCGTATTTGCTATTGCACAAACTCAATGTGAAAACACACACTGAAAATATTGTTCAAACTTGAGAACTACTTTGATCCGTAAGTATAAGATGCAAGCTGACGAATATCATGATATAGTTGCGATCTGTGTTCTAGGTCCTTGGAGTTGCAGCGGCACTGTGACCAAGGCTCAAGTTCTTTTGACCACTTTTCTCTCATTTGCTTTTCTTTTTCATTTAAACATCCAGACTTCGTAGCATTTTCGACTCAATTCGCTTCGGTCAAAGTGCTACAGAGCTTTTCGAAAAAAAAAAAACTTTCGATTCTATCTCTGTATTATCTCAAATCTTTTTAATCCAAGACTCTTCACAACTCACGGCTTTTCTTCGTTTATTATATCAATGTTTAGTTCTTTCTTTTACAAACAATCTAGAACGTTTGTACACCAAATTGAGTTTATTATATTACTTCTCTATATCAATTGTTCTCCAAAATACGTTCCTGAAGATTATCTAAAAGTTAGTTAAGCCTCGAAGCTCGCCTATAGGCATAAAAAAATATTGGTAGTGTGCTCTTTATTACGTCTCTTTAAAATTTGCTTTATTTCTTCTTGCAAGCGTATATATAAATCAACAAAATTTGTATCGCCATTTAACGTTTCAATTTTTACTGCGAACGAACTTCCCCTGGTCACGACAACCGTGCTACATTGAAGAAACAAAATATCATCTTTTATTTCTTCTTATATTTCTCACATACATCAATTCATTCTTTTTTATCTCTCTCTCTCTCTCACTCATTCTTTCATAATCTCACTTTCTCGCTCTCTTTCTTTCTCTTCTCACCCGCATTTGAACGCTACACACATTTTGACAAATAATTAAAGTCATCACAGAAGCGCGTCACATTATATCATATTCTGTTAGATTACATATCTCATGTGTTATCTCATTTCGGTTAGCGCAGTAATAGTACAATGAAAGAGAGTACAAAATGGTTTCTCAAGTTTTCAAGCCTAGTATAAAGCACTATTATTATTATTATTATTAATATTAATATATATCATTATAGTTGTTATGTATATTAATAATATTTATATATACTTATGAGTGTGTGCTTGACACACATGACACATCCGCAGATACACACCTTGTCTTTTGCGCGCGCATAGAGCCTCAGTCGCACCACTTAGAATCTAAGTTGTAGCGATAGTGATTAATTTTTTTCTTTTTTTTTTTTTTTTTTTGTAGTAATCTATTAATCTTCGCCAAATATCGATCTTTTTTCTTCTTTGAAAAGACGATGCATTGTGTTAGCGATACAAAACAATCACCCGGTGTAATCACGGTTAATCGATCGTTAGCTATCGTAGAACTATACCTCCTTTGTATATTGGTTTGTAACGAAAAAATTTGAATACGTATGAATATGTAAAAAAAAAACCATCAAATAAAAGAGAACAAATTTATCGATTATTATTTAATGTATGTACATAAAAATCCATGTTTGATAAAACCCAATATCTTTCTTTAAAACCAAGAGTATTTTTATATAAAGTTTCTTGATATTTCTTTACTTAACATATGTTAAATGAATTATATAAACAATAACCAAAATTTTATTACTGCTTTCTGAAGATTTAACAGAAAAATGAAACATTTAAAAAAGTCTTGCGTAACTTCTTTATGTGTGTATATAAGCTATCTTCATTTTAAACGTTTTATCTTTTTAATGCGCTCCAATATCTCTTTAATTTAATTTTTTTCGATTTTTAAATATTGTAAAGTACTATCTGTAAAAAAAAGTTCCTTTGGAATGAATTTACTGAGGTTGCTGCGAAAGTTCTTTTTCGGATATGACGTATAAACGTTCTTGTTAAAAAAAAATTTTTTTGTATGTATTCAAGTAAGCACTAAAAAATAGAATAAATGAATTTGATAAATTTTAATATATAATTTGGAATCTATTTGGGTATCTCTCAATGTTGCAAAAACGCTTTGCGTAAATCTTGCACTTTTCCAAGATCACACCTTCTCAAATTCATTCTGTGTACTCAACGTTTCGAACTCCTTCAAATGTTCAAAATCTTTCATGAAAAGCAAACTTTCACAACAACCTTGTCGAATAAATCATCTCTTTTTTCCTTTTAGAATTGAAGAAATCGTGCGAAATATTCGCCGAAGAATGGGAATAAGGATAACATGAAGGCAGTATTGTTCGCGCGACATCGAGGAACTACAGGGTAGAAACGGTCTCCCGTCCTCTTACCCTCTCCGCTCAGAAAAATGCGGACACGTCCGATGCGCGCGATCGACTTCCCGTTTTACTTCGAGTCAGAAAATAATGGCACAAAGCGAAACGGAGCCTTTTACGGAGCAGCTTAAAGATGAATTGCGCCGAATATTTTAACCGGAGCTGGCAGTTTCGTTCTCTACTGGCAAGACTGATTGCGGTGCCTCTGTGTTGTTGCCATCCTGGCGGTCTTGGGCTGCCTTCTTCTGTCTCACGATCTCGGCGCGTCTTTCCTGCGTGAACAAAGAGGAAAACACAAAACGGATTAGAATAAATATTCTCCAATGCGATTCCAGTACATATCGAGAAAAATACACCATGCTCTCTCTAACTGCAAGCTAGGTGTAACACGTTCCGTAAACGGATGGCTAGACTTGGACAGGATGCGTCGGAGAAGTTGCCTAGAGTTCTTCAAACTCCAGATGTCTTGATGTTCTGAGATTTGTAGAATTAAAATTTAATTACGTCGTGAAAAAAAATTCTTATATAAAAATTACAACTATAGAGAATCTCGGGGTGGTGCCTTCTCCGGCGCACTCTCTAGTAAAATGATCTCGTACGAGTCATAAATGAGTCCGGCCATGCTGTAAGGTAACTATGAAAAGAAAAATAAAACAACTACAACATAATCTAATAAAAGCACGATGAATGTGGCATTCCTCTTTGCAAATGCAACTATCGGCGTTCCACTCGTGGTCCTACGTAAAATATATAAGCTACGTATTTGTTGCGACGGTGGAAGGGAGCAAAACAGAAAAAAAAAAAACAATTGATGCAACCCTTATTTATTACAATTTGTCGTACTGACACGAGTATTCAAAAATTTTACTCGAACATTCACGATGTTATAAATTATATTTGAACTACAATTATACTTTGCATGTTGAATTTTTATGTAATTGCTTTCTTATATTCTGTTATTCTCGATAAGTAACAGAAAATAAATGCTCCCTTGAATTATTCGTTACAAGCATCGCTTTTCACATAGAAATAGACTAATTTTACGACAAATTGTCATGGTAGTAGTGGATGCTCGATTAGAAGTGCGTGTGGGGTCGGAATTACATGGTGGCGGCGAATCGCCTGCACGCGACGCTGGATCTCTCGCTGCCGATTCAGCTCCGCGGCCGACACCCTCTTGTCAAACTCCAACTTTTTCACCAGGAGCTCATGCGCCGCCATCTGACGCACTTTTGCTATCTTCACCGTGTTCTAAACCACCATCGCATAAACGCCCACATCGATCAATGCTTCTCTTTTTTTTTGCAGTTAAACTTCCAGAGCAACTTATGGTCGTCCGGTTTTAAATTTTTTTTTTTTTTTTTAATCTATCTTTCTTTCACAAAAGCTCGCAAATATAATGCTTTAGAGATCTTAAGTTGTTACGCACAAGACTCCACCACTTTTATAAATTATTACTTTCTTTCTTATTAAAACATTTTTATTATAAACGTCACAAATAAAATATTATTTCTATATAAGAAAATGAAGTCAAAAAGTCCTTCAGGATCTGACGAATAACAAAATATTTGCGCGGGTATCCACGAAACAAATCTTATTCTTCTAAGTCAAATTCTTTTACGATATTTCCATTTCTTTTTATTCATCAACCATCAGAGTTTCGTAACAACCTAGATCGAAGTACTGTCCTAACTACTACCAACACACTAACTACAAAAGCTATATTTGATTAGATTATTTACGTGATTGCGTAGCTTCTCCTTCTGCTCACGCTCAATGGTCTCGCGACGTTCGCGTGCCTGTTCCAGTTTGCCCTGAATTTGGGACTCCAATTGCTGCACACGCTCTGACATTCCTTGACGTACGCGAGCAACTTGCTCTTCCTGCAAGTATAACAGCGAATCGATTTTTCTATCTATTTTTACCGAGCTTATTATCCGTCTGTACAGTGTGCATGTTAAAATATGCAAAGTGACAACCGGATAGAAACAAGAGTGATAGAAGTTGCAAATGTAAAATCCGTCGATAAAATTCATCTCTCGAGTTTTATTTTGATTGAAATATCTGAGAAAATACAAATGATAAAGATAACCATAATACTAACGTGCTCTTTGAGACGATCCAGCATTTTCTTGATATTCTCATCGCGCTGAGCCGCTGCAAACTTAAGCTTCTCCTCGACAGCACATCGCACTTCCTCGGTTTGTTGCTCGAGACTAAGACGAGTCTTCTCAACGCTCTCCAACTGCAACAAAAAATGATATCGGTACTTGCAGCTAACTTTTGCAACCATTCTTCGTCAATTGTGTGCATCCAATCTTTATATACTAACATGTTCCTTCAGTTTACTCTTCAATTCGGCGATGTGGGCCTCTCGTTTCTCCTCCGTATTGTTCATCTTAGCATCCAGAGATTCGCGAGTAGCGGCAATGAAGGCTGCGCTGAGCTCATCCTTCTTGCGGGCTGCTTCTTCGATCTTGCTAAGTTTTGCGGCGAGAACCGCGAGTTTGTTCGCCTCAATAGACAGTCTTCGTTCCTCGGCAGCCTTTAGCTTATCTTCGATCGCAGTTTGCTGCGTTGGGCTTGTTGGTTGCGGTGGCGAAGGCGCTCGTTTAGGCCCCGTTGGCTCCGCCAGAATCACTTCGTAACACAAGCCGCCTTTGGACTTTTCCTGGCATCGAATTTCAGTCGCTAGAAAAGTTTTTATCATGTAATGTGTGTTCGATTTCTCAGTGCATGTAACATTCATTCAGTATAACAATTTGCTGCAATTTAATAATTACAGGTTATTGTAACACAATTTTACCATCTCTTACGTACAATTCTTACGCTTTGAAAAAAAAAGTTAACTAAGAGAATATCATCTCTTCGATAATATTAGTTTACAAATATTTAATAACATTTGTGCAGCTCTTTCTCTCTCCTGAAATTGTAGTTTTAAATTCATGTTGATATCAACACTTCTTGGGATCTATTTTGCGTATCAATAACTCGTCTCAGAGAATACCCTCATACAGATATAATCCGCAATTCTGAGACTTCCGGCGCCGCTTGATTACGGAAGTATGACTCAGAGCTTAGAGCAGCGCGGCGAGAAGGGATCGATCAGAGAACGATCGCCCGTAGGCGCCGCGACGTCTAGCGTCGCTGCACGCACCTCTCTCTTCGCAACCCCTCTGTTTCTACGCTCTTCTTTTACGTATATTCGTTGTTGTATGCGTACTGTAATTACCATGTAGTACACTGTATCGTACAATTTTGTCACAACAATTTTTTTTAAGAGAAATCTTAGCGACTTGTTTGATTTTAAAATTTAAATTACGCTTTCAATGCCCCTTTTTTACTTTTGTTATATTACATATAAGAGCTATATTCAACAAATATCATCAATGTTTTTAATAAAATCAAAAGATAGCACAATCAGAGTGAATAATAAAAAGAAACCAAAATTGTTTTTCTCATATTTTCTTCTTTTTTTCCTTTCAGAACAATGCTATGAAAAGTTGCTGCGATATGACCGTATCTCCACGTAGCGCAATACAAGTTTGCAATAATGTTCCCCACTTTCGATATATAATTCAGCGGCGGCACATTGGCGCGACGGTGCTCGCGACGAGGGCATTGCACCGACCTTTAATGGAGAGAAGCTGCTTCCTTAATCCTTAGACTCTTATTACATTGCGGCAACAGGAATTCTTATAATACCGCGCAAACAAAATTACAAATACAGTTATTACGTTTATAGCGTAATAATTGATAAAAATTTATTCGAAGAATGAATCACGGAGATAAAAAAAATCCCTTATCCCCAAATTCTTCAATTTTGTATATTGTACAGACATAAATAGATTCTCTCGTGAGTTTAAAATTGATTTGTCATAAAAACTGTTTCTCTCTGTATCTTTCAGTATATTGCAATTATTTATATACGTGTTAAAAAAAAACATCAAGTTTTCTGAAATCTGTATTGTAAATCTATTCTCCAAGATACTTGGAATATTCTTGATGGAAAGACTGCTGTTAAAATTTTAAAGAAATTGATTTGAATCCGATCGAACAAGCCTACGTGAGTTGTCTTTTTGACGTCACTCAGAGCTCAGCTAAAGGTCTCCAAATCTCGTCAACCTATTCCTCTTGTACTTACTGATGAACTTCACTTTCTTCGGTTGCTTGGTCCGCGGTTTGCCCTTGCCATTAGGCTTCTTAAACGGCGCGTTATTCCTCCTTTGTCCCGCTTTGAAAATTCAGACTTGGTCAAATCCGCGTTTTCGAAGGAAAGGAAAGGGAGGAAAATCAAGGTACTGATGATATAACCCATTGAGCTACCATCTTTTTTTCTTATCATTCTGTACTACTCATTTGACAAAGGCACTTTTGTGTGGACTAAATTAAAAACAAAAAAAGAAATTATGATCATATTTTACGAGACAAACGTACTTCCAATTTTGGACTTCCAATTTTGGACTTCCAATTAATGCACGATTACTTCCAAATGAGGGATAAAGAAGTCATAAAAGGAGCAAAAATTAACATCAAGTCTACGGTTCTGTCTGAAGGATCAATTGGTTTCCCAATGGGTTAATTATCGAGAAATCGATGCGACCGTTTCGCCGTAGCCATGTTGGACCGCACCCTGATCATTTCGACAGGCCGAACACGTGCACACCGGCTTTACAAAACTCGTGATGTTCAACATTATCAGAGAGAACGATCGGTTAAACAAACAGCTATTCTCCCTTTGAGTGATTGTGTATAGTTCTGTACGTCAAAAATAATCCAATGTTCTTTATCTACAAAAAATAAAATTATAAAGAAAATATAATTCATACATTGTTAATTCTACTTATTATTAAATGTTAATTTATGTCGTCGTACATCAGCGACTTTTACGACACCCTGTACAAAAATGGTGGCCCTGAGTATCGATTCGCGGACGGTCTGAGAAATTGATCGAACTGCAGGTGCCTTAGGATAATGTCACGATATCATTGTGTACTGCGGTAAAGGACACTGCTCCTTGCATTCAAAGAAAAATGTAACTTGAAAAAAATGCAGTTTTATTTGTGAAAACAAATCCGAGAGAGAGAGCTCAGATTTTCACAGATTTTGTCTCTATTTTCTGAGCATTAAAATTACACTTGGACGACAGATAATAATCGCACGTACAGTCAAAATTAAATAATAAAATAAAACATTATGTAAGATAATTATGCAATTAGCAAACTTTGATAAAAAAATGACAAAATGCATAAGTGAATAAATAATAAAAAAACGTTACAACAAATATAACGTATATATAAATTAAATGTACATTAAATGTATAAAGAAATAAGTAAATAGATAAATGAATATGTACATATATGATAAAAATATAGTAAGTTCGAGGTTGCACGTGTCGGTAATTTAACAAATTCGGTATCAGGATGAGAAAAACATCAAGATAGTTTTTACTTAAACAATCGCATCTGTTTCTTCCATTCTTTCAAGGATAAGGCACAGGAAAGTTTGTCAGATTTTTCAACAGTATTCTAGGAAGCTGGCGCTTGAAGATCACAATCATTTCCTTCCGGTTTCCAATTTTTCTCTTATTTCTTTAATCAAAAAAATGTGAAGAATACTTTGAAACAATAGTAAGTATTTCTTATAAGTTCTTTTTTCCGTATTGTATAATATATATTATAAATATATATGCATAAATTATACACATGTAAGATTCTTCATTTATTACTTATATAAGAAATAGTTTTTAATTTGTTTAAAAAATGTGAACACAAAGAGGATATCCACAAAGCAATGAACTTCAGTTCAAACACCTTGGTTCTATAAATAACCAAGTTACTTAGACAAGTTTAGCTCGATATTAAAACTTAAATTTTCACGCTTATTTCAGAAAAAGCTATCAACACTTTCAGTCTAAAAGTGAATAAATAAATAATTTCATTCAAAAGTAAATAGTTTTGCTTAATTTTATGAAGACTGATATATATATATATATATATATATATATATATATAATTTGCCTCCAGAAAAAATAGTATATAAGTTACTTAATAATATATTTATTTCAAAAAAGAACTTTCTTGGCGAGCCATTAGTGCTGAAAAGACACGAAATAAAATTTGTGTAAAATTGTTCATAAATATTTAAAGCAATTGTAAGATCTTAAGTAAAATCAATTAAAAAATAATGAATTTTTTCTAGTAATGTTCATAAAAGTACTCAAATTTTTATCTCTTGATGAAACAATGTCATAAATGTTTTTGTATTATATTTTACATAAATATTATTTGATTGTTGAAGCATTTCATAAGTTTTCCGATTTAAAAAACGTATATTCTCTTATTTCCTCATAAAGAAACTAAACTTGTAAAGAATAATATAAAATATAACGTTCTTAAGGTACAACGCAACAATCTTTATCTCCAAACTGGATATTAAAATCACTTTTGTACTCATAAAATTTTGTTAGAGGACCTTTTGACGAGTCTCATAACGGAGAACCGGAAAGAAAGACCTTCGGCCAGAGGACACAGGAACTCACTCACCTACAACGCTAAGCGGTGCCTTGCAGCTGTGACAGAAGCACTGGAGCACCGAGTCGCGCACGAGACCGATCAGCATTGTTTCGTTTAGGGGATTGGTTTTACCGGAGTTTCGCGGATTTCGCGAAGTACTAAATAACGACGATGCGGCGGATAATAAATCTGGTACAGAGATCTATGGCGCGCGTGACACAAGAGCGAGAGACCGGGAAGAAGGAAAAGAGAAAAGGACGAGACCGGGAGAGAAAAGAGCGAGTGGAGCACGGCTCTCACCGGAAGTTTCGCTCAGGTCGTAACTGGGGCGGTGGCTGAAGGGCGACTGGCCCGCACGCTGCGCCGCGACGCTCGGCGTCGCTCAATATCTGACTATACTCCTCCTCCCTATGATTTTGCCCCAATCCTCTCACGGTCTCCTTCCACCCTACGTCGCGCAACAACAGCCCACCCCGACGACAAACTACCCTTCCAGCTAGCAACTCCAACCTGCGATCGCCACTAGTGCTAGAACGACCAATAGAGAGGTGTTATGAACTATACGGGGTGTTCTGAGAAAAGATAGGGGGTAGATAGAAATATGGGTTTGATAGAGGACAGCTAAAGAAAGTGGAAGGGAAAAGAAGATAATTAGTGAAATGTCAGATGAAAAGATGATCGAAATTTAGTTAGCACTTTGGATTAGTTTCGGATTACAAAAGTTTTAAGACCTTATTGAAAAAATTTACTTCAAAAATATTGCTGCTCGATATTTTTTTAATATTAAAGAAATTGTAAAAAATTCTGTCAATTTTAAATATTTTTACTAAAAGTTAATTTTCTTTTTTTTAATATACATACATATAATTTTTGTAAAACACATTATATTATTATATTTATTATATTTATTAGGTGTATTTAGTAAAACTTTCTATTTGCACGAAAAGCGAGTTTAGAACTCGAAATTATTAGGAATTGAGATTTTTTTAAATATTCAATAACTTTTTCGTTTTCTGACACACTGTACAGCAGAGCTGGTCGTTCAGCATGTATTTTTTTGCGTGTATGTGTGTGGAAACTCCACGTACAGAAACGTAAAATACCATCTGTCCATCCCCCTCTCAGAGATGTATACTATCCTACAAAATCCTCCAATCTTCTCCCAACAGTATCATGGGAGAAGAGAGCAGCTGGTTTTCAAAACGACAAAAATAATCAGTTTTGAAAAAAAAAGTCTGACGCAGAATATCGCAACAAAATTCAATTTTGATTAAATGCATAATTTTCCTAAAAATATAAATTTTATAACATCTTTTTGACACAAAATTCTAAAATTTCAAAACATTTAATCTCTGATTCGAATTTCAAAAATTTTAACAATTAAACTTTTTTCCGTAAAAAAAGTAGTGTTGAATTTTGAGATTTAATTCAAATGATTGTTAAGATCATCTGGTGTCAGATCTACGCGCCTGAAGATTTAACGCAAATGTCACAACAAACAACTGAAATGTGGGACTTTTAACGGTCGTGCATTGTATGAAGTTTATCTGACAGAAGATCGAAACACTGTGTCAGAATTTGTTATGACGCAGTCGGGAAAAGAGATAGCTACATTAGTTCACAGTGAAAATCAATGAGAAATGAAACTTTCATTACGCATGACGCATGACTGTGGTTATAAAGAACTAAATAGATGTATTGGGAAAACGAAGAGAAAAAAGTTTTCTGTCAATTCTTGTCTATCACAAATATTCTGAATAAACAAGACAATTAGGTTTTAATTCAATCTCTTTTTAAGTTTGAATTCTGACTCTTAACAATAAATATCTGATTAGTTCTTATCACTCGAGATGATTTGTTGCAAAAATCATGAATGAATCATTACATGCATCGGCTATTTTTCTTGATGAAGTTATGATTCATTAAATTGACTCACGATTGATACAATTGAATATCTTAATCCACTAGAAATATTCTTGATTCATATTTGGAATAAAATCAAATTACATAAAATATCTAAACAATTTACACTCAAAAGTCTTAAAGTTTCATTCTTATTTTTATCTTATTGTCTTATTTTTTTTTTACATTTTTTTTACTGCGTTTTGCAATTCTAAAACAAATATGATAGAATCGAATTTTTGCCACAATAAAGACAACTTTCACAACCTAAAGATGTGGTCTGCAGTAATGTTTGACGCTACACAGATGTAATCGTAAAAGAAATAACGAAAGATATGCGCGTTTTCTTTTTGATGATCAAGAAACCGATTTAACCTCATAATGAACCGGATTCGATCGTTACGGTTTAATTGGATCCGAACGACACGGCGATAACGAGAAAAAGCGATCAGAGAGATCATAAGAAAAATCAAGTTTATCTCATTGAGTTTTCTTCTCTCTCCTTTTAGTTTCTTTTTCCTAGACTCATGTCAAAAGCAAGTCTTATAGTTTCGTAAATTTTATACACATTTTGTAAATTAACAGAAAAATATTTTTCAAACGTAAAGTAAAAAAGACATCAAATAACGTGTTTTGCATTGCGCTTTGAAAAAAATCTACGATTTAAATTCTTAAAAAATTTTTTTTCATAGAATTCTAAACAAAATTAAACGTGATTCTAAGGAAAATTTAAAATATTCGGAAATAGTTGACTCTGATCGATCGGTCATTTGGACTATAAAAACAATTTCTCACAAAAAAAAGAACAATTTCAACGAGTTTTCTTCTGGTGAGATTTTCAAGTTGAGAGCTACTGAAACAACGCCGGTGTGCCACACATCATGTTGCAGTTTCGAGTCGTTGGGCTGCAGTTGTCAGCCGCGGCATTATGGCCGCCGGTTGCCCGGTGCGGTGGTTCTGCAGCATTCGCCAGCGCGAGGACACAACGGGTTCGGGGGCTCTGACCTCTTCCCGTCGTGTGTGCCCGCCTGCCGATCTCCTCGATCTCTGCAGCGTTTGGGTGCTGTATTCAGCACGGCGCCGAGTCGCCCAGGCCGCGCGCACCCACTTCTCTAATTGCGGAACCATATTTCGGTTTAATATCGCACGCGAGATCCGCATTCGTTTACCAGGCGCAAGAGAGATCAACCACACACATTGTATAAAAAGCAGAATCCTTAACCCACTTAGGGACGTTCCGTGTACACGTTACATTATATACATCAGCCTTTATATTATAGCTTCTAATTATGAAACGATGAGCGTCATCATACAACTCGTCTTATCTCGCCGAATATATAAGTCATTTATATTGCGCACATCTACAGATTGTTTCCCATAAATATTTTCGTTACTTACAGTCACTGGGGACGGGAGATTCCGCTGCAGCAGCCATAGCGCGATGTTTCTCTGCAACAGAAACGTTTCATATGTGATTTCAACCTTGCACGTGTACGTGTGCGGTAAAATCTAAGAAAGAAACACAAATATGTGATAAACACAATTCTTGATTATTGTCAACACATCTAATATTTTCAATTATGACTTACAATATTTTGTAAATACCATGTGTTATTTTCTCAAATAAAAGTTTATAACATGAAACAAGCATATAATTGCGATTTAATTTGCGACAGACTTCATTTCACTTATAAATTTTTATTGCATATTGTACTTGTTAAAAATAAAAGAGTCAAAGCCATCCCCTACTTTATCTTGACCAACTCACACAAATAATCACTAAAAAAAAAGCGGTTCTCAGATTTGTATTTTACAAACAACCAATTGTTTGCAATCAATAAGAATTGTAAGAAATATGAAAACGTTTTTGTTCTTGAAATTTTTTACGTATTATTACTTAAACTTATTGTTAGATATAATAAAAGATTTTTCATCACTCATTTTCCATTATTATTCACGTTCGCGACTTACTCTGTTCTAAAAAAAGCCCTCTATTTGTTTATATTTTTTACAATACCATTACCTGAAAGAGCAATAAAATTGTTAACTCAGATTGTTCTTCAGCAAAGTTGTTTCTTGCGGTTCCAAAACCAAAGTTATTTTACTACACTGATATGTGAAATGTAACTTTACACACGTAAATGTGAAGGTAAAAGGGATGTAACTTTAGCATATATAGTCAAAATGAGTTATATAACGACATCTGGTGACTATTATTGTTCACCACGCTGAAGTCCGATCGTTTTGCTGCAGAATGTTTTTCTGAGAGCAAACAAAGCATTTGAAAAAAGCATCTGAAAAACTAAACTTTCTCGTTACTTATCAATGTAAAGAAATTTAAATATTTCTATATTTCTCTATAACATTTGTCTATTGTTAACATGCGTATAAATTATTCTGATGTAAAATATAAGCAAATTAGTTACAAACTACACTAGATACACTGCATTATCATGTGATACTATAAGCAAAATGATCCCGCGATCGGGAAACGTTTACACGCTTTGTTTACAAGCGTTCAACCGTGATCAGTCCGTCACTCTCATTGTCAGTCGTTGATATAAAATCATTTGGTCTTACTTGACTGAGCCTTGTCCAACCCTTTCACAGTTCTCTTTGTCCCTAATACAGAATAATCGATGAGCAACAATCATCGGTGCATTCTGCACAATTAAATCGTTGAACATTCTAGCGTCGCGAATGGCGCGAAGGTCGCGCGCGTCTCTTTGTTGCGTCGCGCGAACGGTGAGAAGAAACAAAGATCTCTTACCTGTTTATCTCACACGAGGAAGGTACGCTCTTTATTCTTGACACTCGTTTTCGGCGGACAGGACAACAACGGTCTGTTAACTTCGAACTCGAACTCGAATGCACTCGATGAATGCACGTTTTACACAGGTCTGAACATATCACGACGAAATCAAGCGAGTTTCTGAACGGTCGGTTGCTTTCGACGCCGTTTTTATCGCGCGGTGTCTTTGTGCCGCATTCGAGTCGCCGAAAGCGAACGAGCGATCGCGATGTCACCCGAGTCGCCGCAAACGCAGACTCTCCATTGGCAGACACCAACGCACACCGCTTCAATTGGCCGATTCGAAACGCCAAACGTTACTAGATCACATAATAAACTTACTCTAGTCGACCTTTCTTTATACATATATAATTGCCTTCAACCGTTCGGGTATATTCCGTACATTCGTCACTCGATTAGCACATTTCTATATGTATACTATTTATCTTTTATTTCTAAACATTCTAAATATGTATTTTAATTGTGCCAAACAAACGCTGGACAGTAAACAGATTCATTATAGTTAACGAAGCAGTGTATTATTAATTAAAACCGTAATAAAAATAGCTTTTCATTATCTAATTCCTTTTTTCTCATGCCTTTTTCAAAATATCTCGCAAGGAGATGCGTGAGTATTTTATGCGCGTTATATTTCTCTGCGCAACTTTTTATTTGCGTTACACTTTTGATTGCACTTGATCGATTAAAATGCAACCAGGAATAAATTCTTGGTATATTAACACTATTTTTTTCTCGAACATCGGCATCCGTAAGAGCAATTCTTTTTTATTTACGCGATAACAAAGAAAATATACAATTTAATTTAATACCTGTATTTACATGTAATTCGACGAGCAGTGCCAGGCGGCAAACCGTTAAACCTGGCTTTAAAAAAAAAAAAAAAGAATTCATTCCGGATGAATCATGTGACTGCATCCTTCAGACGAGTGTGTGGGACGTCGCGACCGTTGCGCGGTTTGTGCTCTCCGGTGTGTGCTGTACCGCAAAAAAAAAAAATGAATCCCAAATACGGTCGAAGCTTCGCAACTGGTTTCGTCAACAATGTCGTCTTTTTTCTCGAGCGACAGACGCTTACGGCGCGAATATGACAACTTTCTTCCTGCATAGTTTGACATTTTAAAGTTTTACACCTGGATAATTTATTCTCATTATATATGATTTATTCCGTTACTTTTATAATGAAAACACAATCATACCGTATATATATATATATATAGTGTATAAATTACCGTATATTGAAATCTGAAGACGAGCGTGTCAACATCAATAAATACGTCTACAATTGACTCTTAGCAAAAGTACACGAATAGTCAATTTAAGTGAAGTTGAAATCAGAGTTACATTTGTCCTCTTTTCCATCTTTTAAATACATTTGATATTCTCGTTCCACTTATTAATGACATTTGATTTTTTACTTACATTTGATACTCGGTCTACTTACTGGTTCTCGCATACGGGAGTATGAAAGAAGCCAATCTTTTTGTTGCTCTATTGAGAGCGAAATGCCGATTGGAGCCATTGAAACATAATACGCTCTTCTTCTTTTCAATTAAGTCGGTGGATCTTTAGCGGTTGGTCCAGTCTGATCATCATCTACGATTCTCTTGATGCCTCTGACCGGCTCGAGTGTGTTCAGTGCATGTCGGTAATACCGATAGCACGAAATAGAACCATAAACATGCGTGTACATAGCAATCGTGAACACGTAATTGCCAATGTGTACCACGATAAACAATAGCGCTGGCGAACAGGAACGAAAAGGCGATAACTGCTAACTTTGGAGCCATGGTCGCTCTCAGTCTTCTCTGGAATGAGTGTGTACGTGCGCGCGCAGAAAGTGCTATATAGTGATAATAACCATGATTTTCATAAATATACATACCACATGTATATACCGGCTGTATATATCGTTGTGGGTTTGTTCTCTGGCGTGTGAAAGGAAACAATAATAAAAAAAAAACACGAATCATCAGTCACATAGTGAGTGCAGTCACGCGCGAGCATGCGCGATTATCGGTGAATCTGGGTGCATGTCGTGGCGCGTCTTCCCGACCGACAGCACGTTGTGTGTTGCGGGACGAGTGCGCTGATCGTTGTGCCTGATGGTGGTCGCGCGAAATTGAAGCGGGCGTAAGTAAATTTAATAATCAATTATAAGGATGACGATAGCAAAGCAGAAGACTGACAACGCGGTGACCACCGATGGCAACCTGGCCAACACCGTGGCCGTCGATCACGAAACCAACAGGCTGTGCGCTGGCACGGACAGTTTTTCAAGCATTAACGAGAGACCGGTCGACGACATCTCTCTCGAATTCTTTTACAAACCTCACACGATCACTCTGCTGCTGATTTCCATCGGCGCGGTCATATATTCAGCTTTCACCAGGTTGGTTGGTTCAATTGCCGATTTTTTCCCAAGTACTTGCCATAGACGAGAACTCATAACCTTTGGGATTGTGTTCTTAAAAAATCACTTGTTTTCTAAGTTTGTTCACATGTACGCGGCAATCGTTGTGAGAAAATGTGTCAACGCGGAACAATTGTGTTTTCTTATTTCAGATGTCATATTTTGCGCTCGTTACATAATTTGTTGCTACATCAGAGTGTTTAGCTTAGTGTTTTTGTCTTTTAGTTCTATGTAGTGTTTCTCAGATATTGCATCACATGTGAGTTGTTGAATTTAATTTTTGATATATAGTTAGATAGGGAAATATATATGATTCATTGTATATATGTTGCTTTTGTTATAGTTTGCTATGTTAAAATTATTGCTTCAAGTTTTAAACCCCGAATGTTTTATCAACCAGAAGTGTTTCATGATAAATTCATTTCAAAATTTGCATAATTAGTATTCGTGATGAATTCATCTCAAAATTTGCATAAATTTGCTTTGCTATTGCAAGTCACTATTTTAGTTTGTATGTTTAATTTTGTGATTAGAAATTTGTATTTTTTTTATTTTTTCAGTAATATGAGTATTGTAACTTTGGTGATTGTAATAATATTTTATCTCACTTTCAGAAACACCACCAATGTTGAAGACAACTTGTGGGCAGGCATGCTCTGTGTCATTTTTTTCTTCCTCATTATATCCGTCTTGACATTTCCCAATGGCCCATTTACCAGGCCACATCCGGTAGTATGGCGAATAGTGTTTGGCTGCAGTGTGCTCTATTTGATGGGCCTGCTGTTTTTCTTGTTCCAAAACTACGAAACGGTCAAAAAAATCCTGATCTGGGTGGATCCGGGATTAGCGTCTTTTCACATCGACATGGACAAGGAGTACGGCGTCAACTGTTCCGATGTCACGATAGAAAAGATCTGGAACCACTTGGATGTGTTCGCGCTTGCTCATTTTCTGGGCTGGGCCTTCAAAGCCATTCTGATTCGCCATTTCGGCATTCTCTGGGCTATTAGTGTTATGTGGGAGGTGACGGAGATAGCCTTTGCTCATTTGTTACCAAACTTTGTCGAGTGCTGGTGGGACGCGCTGATTCTGGATGTCTTGGTGTGTAACGGATTGGGTATCTGGGTTGGCCTGAAGATCTGTTCCATATTGGAAATGAGAGAATACAAGTAAACTGTCTTTTTTGCAAATAAGAAATTTTATGTGAGAAGCATGCTTCCATTTGATTCATCACATTTTTCTTTAAACAGATGGGTCAGTATCCGTGATATTGAGAGCACCACTGGGAAACTAAAGAGAGCAGTGTTGCAATTCACTCCCGGCAGTTGGACATCCGTTAGATGGTTAGATCCAACTTGTACACACATGCGACTGGTTGCTCTATGTCAGTTAGTGATATTCTGGCAAGTTTCCGAACTGAATACCTTCTTTTTGAAGCATGTTTACGAGTTTCCACCGTCTCATCCTTTTGTTGTGGCGAGACTAGTGCTGGTAGGCGTTATAGTGGCGCCGTCAGTTAGGTAAGTAAGAAAATGTAACGTTTAAATATATTTAAAAAAATATATTTAAGATCGTACATTTGAAACAAAAATGATCGCGAACGTGTTTTTTTTTTATAATTACAGGCAATATTACATGTATGTGACTGACCCTACATGTAGTCGAGTAGGAACGCAATGCTGGGTTTATGGAGCAATCATGGTAACCGAGGCTTTGCTTTGCATACGCCACGGTGCGGCGTTATTCGAGCGTACACAAGCGCTCAACATCCTTCTTTGGCTCCTCTGCCAGTCTCTAGTCTCCGTTCTCTGTGTCTACGGCTGTGTTTTATGGCATCAGTATTTTGAGGTAAAAACAAACTGGCAGATTTTAAATTCGTTTTCAGGACCGTAGCTTAACGATAGAGAAAAAAGTGATATAGTATTTTAAAGTAAAAAAAAAAAAATAAAAAAAAAATAAAAAAAAAAATAAAAAAACTAAAGAGAATTACATCACATAATAATTTGCAGCATAAATGATAACAAAGTTTTACTTATTTTTGACATAAGTTTGCTTGAGGCCGTATGTGTTGTATCTAAATCTATACGCATCGATTTTATTGATTAGTTATTGTGTTGATCTTTGTAACTAACTGTTATCGTTCTTTTCAAAATGCATGATGATGCTCGCTGCAGACGGGAAAGAAAACGTCTATAAGACGGTCTGTTTTGTATCCGAGCAAATTTGACGTGGATTCCAGCGGTACGTGTGAATTGCTCTTTTTATAGGAAGTTATACAATAGCTATGCGATCTGTTGAGTTTGCTGCGACATTTAACTAATTGCTCGCTGTCGATTGCTCCGAAGAATTCGTCCGTGACTTTTTCATTAACCTTATTTGTGATTTAGTCACGTCTCGATTGTTTATATTACTTTGTTTCTATTAACAATTTAAATAACTCGAATAAGAAGTCGTTAATCAAATAATTATAAAACTATTGTATAATAGATTTTGTACTATAAATTTTATGATTTAAAATATATTTTTGAATATTTTGACTCTTACATTTTTTTAAAATTTTTTCTTTTTTTTGCAGACTTAAGAGTTTTTTTAGATATTGGACTATTTCTTACAGATTTTTGAAAAATTGTTAATATTTGGATTCAATTGATCTAACCCTTTTTTTTTTTTTGCTGTGACGGTCTGCAGAGCACGCGTGACGGACGGGCAAACGTTCAGCCGTGACCGATGCTACAATGTCGCAATTCACTCTGCGATCGTTGAGATTTTTTACGTAGGACCGATTTTTATGTGAGTTTGCATGTTTCAGGGGATATGGTTAACCTTGCGAAATCAGTGGAAGAGCTGGACAAAAAGAAGCTGTGAGAGAAAAACTCAAGAGTGCCGCGCAAAACGGTAAACTGTGAACACTAAATAAAAAAAATAAAAAAACAAACTCTAGTCGAAGTCGCGTGTGGGGCAATGTGTGGGTGAGAATTCATTATTTACGGACGTGACATGGTGTATATCCGGAGCTGTTGTTACTTTGTTCCTCAGAATAAAAGGAGAATGTTGTTGCTGCAAGTTTTCCACGTGAATCGCCGACGTTCCGATTCGATGTGAGCCTCGCCTAAAAAAAACTGCTTGTCGAATTTGTATTCAGTGACAATTGTATGTATACATTTGTTCATTGTTTTTCTCTCTAAATGTTAGTCGTAACATGGATATCTTACTGTGCTTGCGATATATGTCCATCGAAAAGCATCAGGGCACCTTTAAACTTAAGACGTTACATATATTTATTGCACACATAATAATTGCCGATATAAATGTTTATAAATCGAGGAATACAGAAACGACACGCGTGAAAAATATGGTTTTGAGGTTTTTTTTATTTAGAGACGCAATTTTTTTTACCAAGTCATACATTCGCAGAAAACGGCGTGACAATATTCAACATTTCTAACAATCGAATGTACAGATTATAAAAAAGAATATACAGAATATACAGATTGTAAAGATCTTCGTTTGCGAATCGCTTTCTCTCTCTCTTTCTCACCAGACAAAACTGCGCCAGTGAGTTTTGTTTCTGTACTCGTCGATTAATATCATGGATAATCGATTCGCGACATCCGCCGTTAAGCAGAACGCGCCATGTTTTCCACGGAAAAACGATTTTCACGCCGAAAGGATTGGGGATTCAAAAATTTTGGATTCTATGTACGGAAATACGCTGCAAATGTCTTCGGGTTTTATTTGCGAGCCCTTCCGGCAATCCCATGCGTCGGCGACGATCTTGTTATTCGACACGGCGACGAACACGCGAATCCGACTCGGGAGGTTCTCGCTTTCGTAGAGAGAGACAAACGATGACGTGAGCGGCGTCTTCGTGCAATACGTCTGCAAAAGTCCGTGGAAAAAACTCGATCATTCGAAGAAATCTTTCTATTCGAAACTGCTACTAATGTAACGTAAACCGAACTGTGAGAACAGTACCTGAGCGTAGGCGAGATAGAATAATTGGTCAATGCGGAGATCCATCCATGGGAGTCTCATCTCCGCGTCCAATCTGTTAAGAGCCAAAGTGTCGTAGGCTAGTCTGAGTCCCACAATGTCAGACAACCGTTCGTTCAAGGTCAACTGCGGGATCTAGAATATTTAAAAGTATTAACGTTCCATATTTTTTTGCGACCGACTGAATAAAATCCAGCAATTCGCAAAAAAAAAAAAAAAAAAAAAAAAAAAAAAAAAAAAAAAAAAAAATTACCTCGCCCGTTATTTTACATTTTAACACACATTTTGTTTAAATATCTCGTTAATTTTCAAAACATTTATACGTATAACGTATCAAACATTATATGTGTAATATTCGAAAAAGATTTGTACATTGCAAGGACAAATTCGCTTATAATCTCTTCATTGTGATTTTACCGTAAAAGATATAGTTTGGTCGGTGAAAGGTAGCGTCATGTTCATAGATGTTTGATACATGTTTTTCTTTTGGCAGTCAACGTAGTCATCAAAGTGCATATCGGTACTTCCGTGCTCGTACATCAGAGAATATTCGATGTTTCTGGCTTGATTCCAGTAGTGTACACCTGCGGTAAAAGACACGTTCGAGAATCTCTGTATATCGAAAATATAAGAAAGACGATATTGCGTAATTTCTTATACTCATGTTATGATATTTACTAATTTAACTCGCATGATTTAAAAAACAAAATGATTACAAATAATTATATAAAAAGTTGTAAAAAGTATGTCAAAAAATTGCGTTACCGTTCGCATCAAAATGATGAGCGATTTGATGAGCTATAGAAATTCCAAGATTCGCCATCAGAAGATAGTGAAGAGACGTTAGCAAATACTCGTCGTTCGTCAAAGACCAATCAATGATGCCATAAGGAATTACAATAAGATTCAGACTGTAAATCGATCGGGCCTTTGACTGGAATGGCGTTGCGAAGTATGTCCAACTGTAATATAATGTTATTTGTGCTGAGATACACTCCAAATTAGACAAAATTATTTTCTCTATTTTTTTATTTTTTATTTTTTTATTTTTTTTTTTTTTTTGTCATCTGTATCATATTTTACTCACATTTGCTTTGAGTCAACTTGTCTTCCTAATTCGGCATACATCAAAGTTCTGTACCGTTTTAGCAGAATCATCGAATTGTTAAAATAATTGTCATATAAGGTTATCTGAAATTCGATTATTATAATGTAATAATTAAATTTAAGTAAGATACAGTAATAAATCTGCAATGTTTAATGTTATCATCTTGTTTTAAAAATATCCACCTGAATATCGTATTCGCTATATAACAAATCTCTGTTTTTAAAGTAGGAAGCGTCAGGCAGTGCGAGTTCAAGCTCGTCGATTTTTCTTAGCAATCTCTCCCGTCCTCCTTCCATTGCCCACTTTGCCTCCATCGTTTTCAATTTAAATGTTTTCTTTAACTGTTCGAACATGGTTTTCGTCTATCGAACAAAAATTGAAATCGTTAAAGAATTAAAAATGAAGTATTTCGGGAATTCGAGAAAATGCTTCTATTTACATACTGCTTGCAAATGCTTGTAGTTTGTCTTTTATTTCACTTACTATGCTATTCATCCGCGTTATTTCGTTATCTGTAAAGGACGATATGTATAAACTGGACGCTTCTAAACGCAGGAGGTAAGTGGCTGCTTCCATACAATGAACCTTGATGTCGTTGCGCCTTGGCAAAACCATCTGTGAGATTCATTTTAACAATAAAAAAAAAAGAGTTAATAATATTTGATAATACTTGTAACTTCAATAAGTTATAATAGTACGAGAGGCGATTGATTTGGCTATCGTTGCCGGTACATGTTGTTAAAAATCACAGAAACACTACGATAATGAGCCAGCGTTTGACATTTGTTCTTTTAAAGCATGAAACTTGTCAACAGCAATATTATTGTCGCGTCGTTTCGGATATTTATCAACCACCTCATGCGTATGTAATCACATTAAGTATTACATATAAGTATTAATTACCTCATTGTATAGTTTGTGTGCGTACAAACCCATTAACGCGTTGTTGAGGCCCATAGAGTCCTCTCTGGCGAATTTTCTCATTTCTTGTAAAGCTTCTGTCAGGTTATTGTGAAAATACACTTGAATACTTTTGCCTGACACATCCACCGTTGTTAACGAGCGAATTAATTGCGTCCAATTCAGCTGCGAAAGTAAATTAAAATACAAAATTAACCGACCGCTAAAAAAAATGATAACAAAAGTGGAATCAGAAGAATTTTTTTTTTTTTGCGAAAACAAGTGAATTCTAATTCTTTGCAAAAAAATGTCTGCGATTGTTTTTTTACTTACAAACGTGCTACTACTCTGCAACTCGTCCAAACTCATTTTTGTGTAATTGCTCGTTGAATATACTTCCTGGATTTCACTTTTTGATGGAAAATGCTGCAGAATTAAAACGCAATATTTTATACATATATATATTTTTTTTCAATAATAGAAATCGAATTTAAAAAGTTTCGCGACAGATTGAATTACCGAGAAGTATCCTTTCATTATAACAGAATCGATCACATGAACAGTTTTGTTTACGTATTCGAATTGTGAGTTCCGGTCTAAATCTTTATCATCTACATCTTTAAAAACATTGAGTGACATTAGCGCTTCTTTAATGAACGTCACAAGTTTTCCCGTATCCTTCTATAAAACAAAAATCAAGTAGTAATTGTTCATACAATTATTCGCTATGTTATTTACATGTATACAGAGAAACACACACACAGACCTTGCATTTTTCATAATTCTCATATAAAACTTGCAGATTCACATACTGCTCTTCTCTATCAAACTCGTTCTCAGAACACTTGAAATAGTCCATGTATCCCGTGCTGAAAGGATTCTCGTACTGCTCGAACATCACGGGACCTATCTTTAATGTTAAGCTATTCGGACGATACTCGTCCACTTCGGGCACAACGTCAAATAAAAAAGCGCTGTGTAAAATAATTTGTATTTAAAATGTTTTTCTCACGAGTTCTATTCAATTTTTAAAATGTTTTATTAATCGTTATATTAACATTAGTGTATTAACGAAAGTGTGATTACATACCTGTGATGTAATATCAATTTAGCAAATAAATTCGTGAAATCCGTGTAATCGTTAGGCCACGTAGAGTTGATATAAAATTTTCCTATCTCTCTCAACATATCGTTTGCTGCAACGAAATCGATTGATGGTGATATATGTATAATTTAATGGTACTTACTTAAATCTATTTGCAATTTTATTGATTGTTCAAATAAATATTCAACTAAATAAGTCATCGATTTACCGATTCTTATCCTTTCGTTAAAGTTCACGTCGTTTTCGTATCGCACACAGCTGTCGTAGTACGTTGCAAAACTCGAATAAACACTTTCGCGGTTTTCCTTTGACATTTGCACTGAAATAATTTGAAACAACAGACAAGACAATGTTCAATAAGTAATTGATATATCAGTAATCAATTTTCCGTCTAAAATAAATCGTAACTTGTGATGACTATAGTTTATAAAAATTCAAAATAATTACTGGCAATTCGCTGATAATTTTTGGATCTCTCAACCGGATCTTTGTCCATCAGTTGCGGATCCGCCTCGAAACCTCCGCAAGCATATTCGTAAAAATCATCGCAAGCATCGGCTGAATGATTCATGTAGGACAACATTCTACTGGTGATTTGTTTGCAATTTCCCGTTTTGCAAACATTTAAATCCTCCTCAGGAAGCGCAGTTTCAGTCGTGGATTCCATCGGTAAGATTGTGGTGGTGATTGTGCGATTATAAGAATCGGAAGTAGTACTTGTGTTTAAGAACTCGGAAGATGCGGTGTGTCTTTCCCTTGTATTAGAAGTATCGTTAAAAATATGTGTTTTGATAATTCTGTTATAACTTCGTATGTTTGTTTTGTTTATTGTAGTTGTAAATTCTTCGTCGAGATGTTTGTAAGTAGTTGTAGTATTTTTATCTGCTGCAGAAATTAATTGGGTCGGCGTTGTTGAAGAGATAATGTTATCTGTTGTATTATTAACAAATTCATTATAAGTAAGATTTTTGTTTGTAGAAGTTGTGGCATTTTTCTCTATTTCAAATCTGACTCCAAAATCTGATCGATATGTTGTTGAAGAGATATTGTCACTCGTCGGCATCGTTGAAGAGATGATATTATCTGTTGTATTATTAACAAATTCATTATAAGTAAGATCTTTGTTTGTAGAAGTTGTGGCATTTTTCTCTGCTCCAAAATCTGATCGATATGTTGTTGAAGAGATACTGTCACTCGTCGGCGTCGTTGAAAAGATGATATTATTTGTTGTATTATTAACAAATTCATTATAAGTAAGATTTTTGTTAGTAGATGTTGTGGCATTTTTCTCTGCTACAAAATCTGATCGATATGTTGTTGAAGAGTTACTGTCACTCGTCGGCGTCGTTGAAGAGATGACATTATCTGTTGTATTATTAACAAATTCATTATAAGTAAGATCTTTGTTGGTAGAAGTTGTGGTATTTTTCTCTGCTCCAAATATGACTCCAAAATCTGATCGATATGTTGTTGAAGAGATACTGTCACTCGTCGTAGTATCGGATTTCTCCCGAGTGCTTGTACTTTTTTCAGTGTTGGTCGAATAAGTAGATATTGCGAAAGATGCAGTGGTATCACCGTCGTCCGATTGTGTTGATGTCTGCAAATTGTCTGTAACATTTTTAATGGACGTCGTAACTTGCTCGATAGTATCGATGATTGTAACATTGTTTTTTAATGTAGATGCGCTGGTACTCAGTACAGGCGGCGACATTGAAGTCGTGTCGCTGTCAATAACATTATCAATGATATCGTGATAATTGTATCGTGATGTAGTAGCCGTGTCAGTGTGTTCTCTTGTAGTTTCCGTGCGACGGCTTTCTTCTGTGGTGTAATCTTCAACATCTTTCCGAGCAACAGTCGTATCCTGCGTCGTCGTGTTTTCAGAATAACGATCGAATGGATTTGCTTTAACGTTTGTCTTGGAATTATCCTCTGTAACGACATCAAAATTTTCGGTCGTTGTATCTTTTGTACTTGCAACAGATGTGGTCATTGTTCTTTGAGTTAATAACAAAGTTGACAACAAAGTTGTCGGGATTGTTGCTGTCGTCTTCGTCTCTTCTCCATGATAATGCTAATTTAAAGTATTGACAAAAATATTGAAGATTAAATAAATAATAATGCAAAAAAGAAAAAAAAACACATTGTGACACATTGTTGTTGAAAAAAATCGAGAAATAATAATAGATTCTCATTTTTATACAATTCTTTTGTGTGTGTGTGCACTTATATTTTATCAAAGATCAATAATATTACCTCAAAGTAATCCTTGTACTTTTCAGTTTTTGTCCAAGGTTTACAAGCAATAATGAGGACGAGGCACAGAAAGAAGAAAATGAGCAAGGCGGTGAGGCAGCTCTTATATGATTGATCTCGTTGAGCGGCCTTACCTTGCTCTCTATTGACGTGATACGTTCTCGAGGGCATGATCTGTTTTGCAATTAAGCGACTACTTATATACACGAATTTATTAAAAAAGATGAAACTCTACGCTGCGTGCCAACGTATGTAACGATATGTAACGAGCAACTGTTGCACGCTCTTGTGATATAATCTTTTGAAAATACTGATTGTGGTTTCGACGACCGCTTCCTTCCGAGCGTTATCGCTCAGAAATATAACGAGAGTTTCTATATAAAGAATTGCTGCATTCAGAAACACAACCGCTTACTAAGCGGCTAAGTAGCAATTTATTGTAACTTATTTGATTTAAAGAACTAATCACATTCGATTGTTAACCGCTTAATGAGCGGTTGTGGTTCTGGATACACCAAATGTGATTGAAGTTTAAATAAAACTAGTAATCCGCGAAGCTATGAGGACCTAATTGAAAAAGCGCAAAAATAAAATTGTGATATTCATATTCTTTTGAGGAAGTCTTCACGGGAAAGGCTACAGTAAATTTTGATTATTATTTTCATAGAACTAAGTATATTTTCTCTTGAGTTAAATTTTTTTTTTATATATATTCTTTTTCTTATCTTGACTCGTTAGATTACAGACTTATTTCACATCAAATAAATTATTAAAAACACGTCACTCTCTTCCAAATATTTGTTATATCTCTGGAATATATATATACTTCTCTTATTACATCTAAATATATTCTTAAAAAAATTTAACAAACGTAAACGTTCAAAAGAACAAAATTTGAAAAAAGTTATTTGACTATACTTGTTACTTGTAAAAAAAAAAAAAAGATCGGATCCAGAGAACTAGTCACTTCCAAATGTATATGAGATATTTTTTTGTTTGTAGTTGATTTTGCACAGATAAATTCTTTTTTTTTGTAAAACTTTTTCTGCACGAGATGCACTTCACTGTCCAGTAGAAGCGTATTCTAATAAAAACATAATTTGGAAGTGATATCTCAATTTTTCCAATATTTATCGAAAGTCAATATCGAGACAATACGTACGGAACATTTTCGATGTGCGCGCATATATATATATATATGTATATATATATATATATATATATTTAATTGTATGTATATGTATAATTATAAGTTACTTATATTGATAGAGCATTTATAATACAATTATCACAGATATGTAAACTACAAAATATCGTACGCAAAAATAAAATGCAACTTGCGCCTTTTGCTAGTGATTTTTCATTGCACATGCTGCGACGACTGGTCTATGTTCTAATCAAGAGATGTACAGTTCAAATACGAATAAAAATATACATACGTGCGTAGACGACGCATGCATATGTGTGTATATTGCAAAAAACTTTATTCGGTTGTGTGGGACGAATAAAATTCGATTTCTCGTTTATAATCATACTCGAAGTCCATTTCGAGTGGCGAATCGGATTGTTCGTTTAATTCGCCGTCGATCGTCGATCCGTCTGTTTTTACGATAAGTGGAACGTTTCTCGCTTTCTTGAGAGTTTCCTCATCAAAGTCATCGGACCTAGATGTTTCGCAGGTGATCTGCAGATTAAAGAAGATTAAAGAAACTTTAATTAAGTGATAGAGGTTGTCCTCGAGTTGTCAATGATAAATCTAAAAAAACAAAAAAAAAATAAACAAAACAGAGAAATAGACTTGTAAATTACTTTTTTTTGTATTTCATCGTTCTTGAAATCCTCTAATTTCTCTTTATCAGCAAGCGGAGCTGCAGTCTTTGATAACGTTTGTCTCTTTGGAGTAGGCTTTCTCGGTTTGAACGATCCGGATGCTCTTTTCGGTAGTTGCGAACTTGTGTGTTTCTTGGTGTCTTGCCCCGATTGTTCGCAATTGTGAGTAATAAGTTGTTCTTTAGTCTTAAAAGTCTGTGTATAACAATAACAATCAATTATAAAAAAAAAACAAACGGAAAGTAAGAACGTTCAAAAAAAAAGCTGCTTAAGAAATTCAGCGTCTCGAATAAACAAAATTCTCTGAGACTTACATGAGAACAGATATCACATTTAAGAGTATGTTTGTTGATCTCGTGATGTTTAAGCGCTTGTGCCCGGTGAAAGTTGCGATTACAGTGGCTGCAAGTGAACCGCTTTACGTTACTGTGAGTCAGCAGATGCCGTTTAAGCTTATCGGTTCGTGAGAACTCGCTCATGCAGCCGAGATGACCGCGAAACGGACACTTGAGCCTCTTCGTCAAATCGTGAATTAGCATGTGCCGTCCCAGCCGATCTTTCCGCTTGAATCTGGCTGGACAATGCTGTGAATTTCAATATAAAATATAGACATTCGTAAAAGAAAAAGCGCAAAAATTTCAAGTTGTTTAAATATTATTTTATATTAATTTTTTATAACACTAATTATTTTTTCCGTTTTATTTACCGGACACGTAAAAGGCATCTCCTCACTGTGCACTAGTTTGTGATTGGCCAAATATTGTTCAGTCTTAAAGGCTTTGCCGCAATCCTCGCAGATAAATTTCGCCGACGTGGAGTGAGTCTTAAGGTGACGACGCAAGAACCTTTCGATGAGAAAACTCTTGCCGCACTGTAGACAAGTGTAATCGTGCGTGGTGGTCTCCTGATGATGTTGTAACGCCTCTAAGTTCGAGAACGATGATTTGCAAACTGAGCAGCAATAGAATTTTTCTGTGGTCTTTTGCTTCTGGACGGAGTGGACGTATTGATGACGACCGAGATCAGACAAAGTGCTGAATACCTCGCCGCATACGTGGCATCGGTATTCTGAGCACTTGTGGCTGCGCGTATGCTTAATAAATTCATCCAACTCTGAGAACATCATGCTACAGTTGCTCTGCACGCACTTGTACACCTTTAACTCAAGATGCGAGATGATGAGATGACCTTTCAAAGCTTTGTACGAATCGAACGTCTCCTTACAGAACTGACAGTGATATGTGCGATCGATATTTCCATCCGGAGGTGCCTATAAATAAGAGTTAAGTATACAAATAAAGAATACAGATGTAGGTAAGAAATTAAACGCTTTTCTGAATAAGTTTCTAATTTATATTAAAAAAAATTAAGAACAATTTAAATTAGTTCAAAATGCTTTACCTCTGGTGGTAAAGAGTGAATGGCAGTGCCAGGCCATACTTTGTGCGAAGACATGTGTTTCTTCACATTTGATTTTTGTGCAAACGCACGACCGCACACTATACACTGATAAGGTTTCTCTCCGGTGTGAGAACGTTCGTGTTGTTGCCAATAGAATTTCTTAGCGAACTGTTTGTCACAGTAGTTACATTTATACTGCAAAAATTAAAACAACATATGTACATATAGATATGTTTGATGTACCAATTTAAGTTTTAATATTATAATAGTAAGATTTATGTTTTTGTTATTTGCAGCACACATACCTTTAAATTCTGTGTATGAATAACACCATTTTCTGATTCATCTAGTGGATCATCTTGGATGGATGTCTCGTTGTCTTCGAGAAATGATTCGCTATTTTCTACAGATTGCTCATTACTTTCCATCAACGAAACATTAACATGTTCAGATTGGGATGAAACATCTTCTTGTGAACTGATATCATGCAATTGTATCATGGACATCTCATTGGACACCTGCTTTGTTGCCTCTATGGCAGTATTGCCAAAGGTATCCAGGTTTTCTGTACTTAAAATAATTGGCACGCTAAATGTAGAATCTGTGGTGAAATAATTGGTGGCCTCTTGGTCCACACTGTAACAGTAATCAAAAGATTCACACACATAAAAAAGTTTTCTAATAGACTATTTATTTTTTAATGTGACATAAAAATAATTAAAATTAAAAAGTGTGCATGATATGTAATACAGAACAAAGTACATGTACGATATATACCTAAATAACATATCTGCTTCTTCTAGAATGATAGGTTCTCCAAGTTGAAAGACTTCTTGTGAATTGTACTGTGATTCATTTTGAGCTACATTATCCATTTGTATCTCTTGATTCTCATTGTTTAAGAACTGAGTCAAATCGACAGTGTCTTGAGTCTTCCGATGTATTCTCTTATGATGTACAAATAATTGAAGTGAAGTAAATTGGCTCTTACATTTACCACACTGGAATAAGTCTTGTTCATCTTGATCGATAGCTGGTGTGAAAAAATATTTGCATTTTATGAGTAAAACACTTTTTATATATTATAAAACAATTGAATAACAACTGTAATATTATATGTAAAATATAGATAAATTTTTCCTTCAACTAATATGCTTTTATCATACATTGTGAACATACCTGACTGCTCAACTTCAGCTATCAATGTCTGTGACTCCAAAAGAGATTGTACAGAGGAGCCATCCAACGAAACATCTATAAAACCAATAAATAAAAGTAAAAAGAATTAAAAATTCTCAGACTGAAAGCAACTAATTACAAATGCAAATTGTTTTATAAAACGCAATAATATAAAGATGTATGTTATTATTGAAACTGTCAGTGACAAGATAACCTATTTTCTAAACATTTTCATGAATTGATCTGCAAACGCTCAGGAACCTAAATAAATAAATGTGAACGTATATAGACGTTGAAACTGAATTACTTTAAATATATAGCGAAGAACATTGCAACGGGAAACAAATCGTAAAATACATAGAAAAACACGAACATGTTGCCAGTACTGGTTAGATATCTCTTGTTTTGACAATAAATATGTTCTTACCTGTCAAAGCGTCGAGAATAGACCGCGCCATGTCTTGAGATCGCGATCAACAGGACATTTTATCAGAGAAACGACAAGTGTGAAGATATTGACTCCGACATAAAAACATAACGATGTCACGCTCCTACATCTCTGCTGATCTTTGCTGTTCCGTAACAGCGCCAGCACACCGATTGCTGACTTAACCTCGAAGAGCTTGCACACGCAAGATCTAGATTTCAAACTTTCAATCACTTTCTACTTCATATTGATGCCCCGGGTTTTTTGAAAACACACGAAGCAACAAAATAAGGAATAGAGCAACAAAGAATAGCACTAAAACAGCTTACCCCTATTTTCTTTCGGTTTATTTTTCCGAGCAACTGTGTTAACTCTATACGTTAAAAGATAATAAACAAAACTATAGATAGATAATATGCAAGATAAAGAACATATACAAATGAGAAGCATACGATTCAATTCAACGTAATGACTTAGTGGGCATAGAAGAGAGACCCCATAGTTATATGTGTGAGGTGTTCCGCTTTCAGAAACTTGATTGGTAGCATTGGCCGCGTTCAGCAGAACTCAGCGCTTAGTAAGCGCTTTACGCTTATTGTCTGTGATTGGTCTCTTCTTGTATATCCGCAGGAAATATGAAAGTATATTCCAATGACAAGCAATAAGCGTAAAGCGCTTACTAAGCGCTGAGTTCTGCTGAACGCGGCCATTGTAGTGATGCCTAAGATACAGCAGATGGTGCTTATTTGTGAGCGCGTTTTTCAAACTTGGATGACTGTAGAAAAAAAAAAAAAAAACAACACACACGTGAAAATAACGTGACTGTAATTTATATTATATATAACATTAAATAATATATATACATATAATTTATTATATATTTATAATATTACACTTTATATTGTATTATATGTATTATATACATACTACAGTAATGTCACTGACCTTGGCCGCGCGGCCTTGGCGGGGTCATTGACCTCGGCCGCGCGGCCTTGGCGGGGTCACTGACCTCGGCCGCGCGGCCTTGGTGGGGGGAGGTCACTGACCGCGGGCGCGCGGCCTTGGTGGGAGGGGGGTCACTGACCTCGGTCACGCGACCGCAGCGGGGTCAATGACCTCAGTCACGCGACTGCGGTGGAGTCACTGACTTCGGCCGCGCGACCGCGGCGGTGTTATTGACTTCGGTCACGTGATTACGGTATATATATATATATATATATATACATATATGCGTATGTGTGTGTATTATATATAGATAAAGAATATTACATATAATATATATAATATTCTCTTTTTTGCCCTATTCCCTGTCACGTGACTTTAGTCGCGTGTTGTTTTTCCACTCTCTCACTATTTTTTGAGATTGATTTTCATGCGTTATTTCTGAGATTTCTCATATGTGTATTATATGGTTTATAAGACGTATATACTATCTGTCATCGCGGTGACAGGTTGTGTTCACTGACAACAGTTAAATAAAAATAACAATAGCGTGCGCGTAGCGCGCGCCTGTTATTGGCTGCTTTCCTTTTAGGAGACACAGTCGACACAAGTCGACACAAGAGTCATTCTGTCTTTGTTTCTCACTGAATACTGAACGAAGACAGAATGACTTTTGTGTCGACTTGTGTCGACTGTGTCTCCTAAAAGGAAAGCAGCCATTAATTGGTGCGGGAATTCAGGGGGCGAGAGAGGCTGTTTTCCTTAGCGATAAACAGCGCCAACGAGCACTGTATAAACTAACTGTAGCAATCCACAACTCCTTGTGCACAAATGGTTTTGGCCGCTCTCTCTCTACTCTTTGCTCTGCGTCTAGGCCGTAGGCGTATCTAGCGGCATATTTTATATCTGATATCGCGCGGTGATATTGTAACGAAAAACAAAAGTAAACTAGACAAAACGTCTTTCCAATTTGCGTCTTTTGAGTAAGTGAATATTAGCATGTTAGTTTTTATTGTTGATAATGATATAGCATCAGTAAATAATACGATACTGAATATGCTTCAGTAGTAATGTATGAATATGTGCGCGTCTCTTAGGTTAGGTTAGGGTAGGTTAGGTTAAGGGTTCGATGGCGTCAAAAAATATTGATTTTTACTTTTTCACTTATAAAGTTGCGATTATTATCTCAAAAATAAGCACAAAGCTAAGAGAAATCAAGTATGATGTATGTGTGTGTGTATACTGTACTTTATAACTTGTATATTTTATATATTAAATTTGTTGAAATATAACATAATCTCAAAACATTTGTAATTTGCATGCGTTTGTTTGATTGACAGAAATACAATTGATATTATTATTTGCAGAAGCACTATGGTAAGAGGTCGCGGAGGAATGATTAGAGGTGGTCGTGGTGGTATGGGACGTGGTATGGGTTTTCCAAGGAAACAATTTCTACCACGTCACCCATTTGACTACACATTGTGTGAAGCAGCTTTTCCACGCGTTAAACCAGTTCCAGATGAATCAGATTTTCAGACAGCACTTCTTAAAAAAAATGCTGACATGTGTCCTACACCAAAGGAACAAACTTCTATCTTAAATTTGGTGAATAAATTGCAAAGTGTACTTGATAATTTGATTGTTGCTCCTGGGAATTTTGAAGCTTGTGTAAGTACATATTGTCGTTTTTTGTACAAATGAAAGAAATTTTAGCTGATTGTGCCTCACTTAATTTTATGACATGTTTATTTTGAAGCAATTGGAGGAAGTGAGACAAGTTGGCAGTTTTAAAAAAGGTACAATGGTGAAAGGTCACAATGTTGCCGATATTGTTGTTATTCTTAAAACTCTGCCTACAAAAACAGCAGTGGAAGCTCTTGGGAACAAAGTCAACAATGACTTGAAAGCTGTAAATCCAAAAGAAATATTCAGACTTATTCAGACTGAACGGGGATTTGATATTGCCAACAACGAGGCTACTGTACGTGTACTGATTACAACGTTGCATCAGAATTTACGCAAGTTGGAATCTGATCAACATTTAGATGTTAAAATTTGTCAAGGTATTTTTGCTTATTGTGTTTAATTGTCTTTACAATCTGATATATTGTACCAGAGATATTAATTGTTTCTTGTTTGCAGGTCATCTTGCTGCTATCAGACATTCGCGCTGGTTTGAAGAAAATGCTCATCACTCTAGTATCAAAGTCCTTATACGATTGCTTCGTGACCTTAGAAGTAGGTTCGAAGGCTTGGAACCGTTGTCTCCATGGATGCTGGATCTGCTGGCGCACAACGCTATAATGAACAATCCCAGCAGACAAGCGTTACCGATACATCAGGCGTATAAGAGGGTGCTGCAGTTGCTAGCTTCTGGACTGTTTCTCCCGGGTTCAGCAGGTATTTATGTTATTTTTAAGCGTTTGACAATAATTTTGTTTGTTTTAGCAGAATCAGATTTAGTCTCAAAAGCACATTTAAAAAAAAGTAAGATTATATCAACGTGATTATAAAAATATGTAAAATTGTCTTAGGCATTTCTGATCCGTGCGAGGGTGGTAATATCCGCGTACACACTGCAATGACACTTGAGCAGCAAGATCTCGTGTGTCTCACCGCTCAAACATTACTGCGTGTATTAGCTCACGGTGGCTACAGACCTTTGCTGGAAGGTTCAAATAAACTCGCGGTAGAGATGAGCGTGTGGGCAGGTGGCGTAGTAGCGAGTCCATTGGATAAGGCATACGAGCCTCCCACGGAGCAGGAGCAGCAGGAGGATATGGATGAAAGCAACGAGGAAATGATTACCGAAAGTGTTTAGGTTCTTTGACACCAGAAGTAATGCATTTTGTCTTTGGTCACGTGGATGTTTTTTACGTGACTGAATAATGTTTACTTTCTCATCGATTTTTTCTTATAATAATGTATTTCATATTTGTACACATTTTGATGATGAGTGGAATTTTGTGGCAATCTAAATTCTTATTGTTTAATGATACGATGACTATCTACCATGGAGTATTTAAGTCTATAAATTTAATTTTATATCGACAATTCGATCATTGAAGTCGTGTGATTGCAAGATTATAACAACAGTATGTGCGTAATTTGACATAAAATATGTATCTACAAGACACAGTCATGTGTATATATAGCACCTTAAACATCTTTCCCTTGTGTATTTTCACTCGGAATAATAATTCCGAGTAATAACCGAGATTCTACGTCTTCGAAAATGTTGGCTTTATCAAAATATTTTTATTGAAAAACGTGTTAAAAGTTTAGAGAGATACTTGCGAATATCAATAGCCGCATTTGAATGACATTTGTGTATAACTTGTTTCGGATCATTTATTGTTTTGTATCGAGCATCTGTTTACCAATTAGGCCCTGATATGATTACTATAATTTGAACTCTCTGAAGTTTCTTTCACCACTTGGCAGTGATATATAACTTGATTCACGCGAGGGAGATTTTACAAGACATCGCGGTCTCCTCTTAGAACCTAGTGCAAACAAGGATCATTTTCTGGAGTCCTGGCGACCCGCGCGCAATTAACCGTGCGAGAGCTGGTGCCTGGTCGAACCGGCACTTTGAAAAGCTTTCCTTGCGGCATGCACACGCACACTTTGTACTGCTCGTGAGTTCCCGTCGGACTCGGGAGAAACATCGGCGCCACCGGAATATTCTTCAAGTCGATAGTAACGCCGTCCTTGGTATCTAGAACGATACTGCCATTTACGCTCTTGAGAATCATGTCCAAGTGAGCGTCCCACATAATATCCTTGCTCTCGATCCGCACACCTTCCGCGCCGTGCAACGAGATCTGATTGTCAGACTTGACATTTAAGCTCTCGTTGACCGGCGACGTGATTCTGTGCGTTTCCGCGATTTTCACGTTAATCGTCTCGACGCCGTTCGGCAAACCGAAGTTCGGGAAGTCGGTGGTGAAGTACGTCACGCCGGTACGTGGATCCTTTATCTCGAACGATTCCATCAGCGACACGACAGTGCCGTTTGGCAGGACGTCCAGTTTGGAGTGTATCTCATGTACGTGACTCTTCACGTCAACGCGCACTCCGGCCTCGTCGCCAGATATCTCCATCGGCTCGTCGCCGTAACTCTGACAGACGCCCGACTGCAGAAATATCTTTACGACAAAAATAATATGGAGTCATAAAAAAAACATAAGTACAAAAATTTATCTAAAACATTTATGAGATTGTAAGAAAATGTTACGTGTACCTTGTCAAGATCGGTTCTACCGTAGAACTTGACAAGATTCTCATCTGGAATTACTTCCATAGCTTCCATTCCCTGACTTATACGCAAAACCGCGATTACGGTAATGTTCAGAAAGAGATTGCACAGACCAATTATCGCCAAAACCAAAGTCAACATCCAAAGACAGTAACGCTTCTTCATGGGTTTCTCGTACGTCGAAGACATCCCATATGAACCAATTGACCTTGTTTTAAAAATTTGTCGCAAGTATGAATTATCTGTTAAATCTCGATTTTTAGCTTTGACTTGCAGCGTTCTGCTATTTACCTCGCACGCATGCTGCTGCAACTATTTTGTCGGATAAGACCCTTGATCAACGGCCCGTCACTGTTTGACAGATTGTCGTCAGCCTTCGATATCGATGGCGAGCCAGTATCATTTCCACATACATCTAGTAGAGCCGACATTTGAGTCTTCTTTCTTCTATATCTGAAGATTAAGATTAAAAAACATTGTTGACAGATAACGTTCTCGTTTATTACATTTATTACATTGTTTTTTTTATTTTTATTTTCTCGTTATTTCTGATATTTTTACGACAAACTCCGACTTTAGCAACTCATTTCGTTAATATTATGTACTGCGTTCTTATATAAAAAAAAACAATCCATACCTCGTATCTTTACTATTGCGATAGTCTTATTTACATTAAAGTTCTGTCGCGTTTTGATATCAAGAATATTCTTACTCATTTTTTTTCCCGAAAGGTCAACTATTGTTGCATGTCAATAATTGTTCTGCGTCGAATATTCCGTCACACAAGATGTGTACAGTTGGTTGCTCCGCGAACGACTTTTTCTTACCTCGGCTGAGACAAGAAGCGTCGCGGTAGACGGAGCTGCTTCTTCGAGATAAACGAAAATAGACGGCCGCGTTATTCGGTTCGTCGAGTACGACGAACGTATTCGCCGACGACTAAGAGGAACGGAAGTCGGTGAGAATTCGCTGATCGGCGCTTGCGCGTCCAGGAATCGATGCCAAGTGTCCTCAGGAATTCTCACGACTTGTACGCAGCCGCTTCTCGAAAACTTGGAACTTTTTTTATGAATTTTTTTAATTTATAGATCTGTTTTATATTAAATTATTTGTAGATTTTATAGATTCATTAATAACATTTGTCATAATTGCGCTATTTTTTTTTTAGGGAGGGGGAGGTTTTGGGAGATTTTCAATAAAAAAATGCGTCACGTAAAAAAAGATTTATTTAATAGATAAAAAAATGAGTATACAAACACATATTTGAGGTAACGTTTTAAGAGAAAGCGATACACGTTAAGAATCTTCCGGCCACGCGTTTCTCTCAATCCAAGGTACGTAATGATAAACTCGAGTATATATGCCGGGCATGTCGCTACCGCACCATCGTCCGACACTGGTTATTCCAACTATGGTGTACATGCATTCATGATCGTCGTTGTAGATGACGATAGGACCTCCGCTGTCACCCTTGATAATAAAAAAAAAAAAAAAAAAACAAAAACACAAGCAATTGAAATCGAGTAATGCTTTTTTTGCTTAGTAAGTATAAATTTATTCTAATTTATATTACCTGACAAGTGTCTTTACCAGACTGTCCCGCGCACATTTGCCATTCGTCGACAACGCCTTGCGCAAGTTCCGCTTCACTGCCGCCGTCGGAGAAAAACCCGTTGCAAGTATCATGCGAAACCAAATTGAGCGACACTTTCAACAGACTGTCTGAGCCGGCGTCGTCAGCTAAAAAAACAGAACACAACACAGTATAAATGTATTAATAATTTTTTTGCGATTGTAAAGTTTATTAAAATTCAATTTTATTTTGGACAAATTTCTCACCCCAGTCGACTAAACCCCATCCAGTGGCAATGGTCTGGTTGTAGTTACGCACGTCGGGCCAATTAACCGGAAGACACGCCGGTCTGACCCACGCGTTGTAAGTGACTTCTCTCTCCAATCGAAGTATAGCTATGTCGTGATACTGCGACGGCCGTTTATATTTCTCGTGTCTTATACTCTCCCGGATTTTGACGGTCTGTGGCTTCGCGTCGTCGGTCGTGTCCGCGAGATTCAGATCACCAACTCGCGCCCACTTTACGGCTCGCCTTTACGAAAAAAAAAAAAATAATAATAATAATTAGAGTCAATTTTTTCATGAAGAACAAGTAAAAAAACATTACTCGGAACTTGCCAAGAGTTCGACCACGTGCAGTGAGCGGCTGTCAGGACAACTTTGGCGGAAATTAAGGTGCCACCGCACAGCCACTGGATGTTCCCGTCGTCTTTGGGGTCATAACCAAGAGCCGCCATGTGCGGGAATTCTCTCGGTTCGGCCTTTTTACCGCCGACGATCAATTGGCGAGACTTCAGGATGTCCGCGCAACGCGACACGTTCACGAGTTGTCGATCCGCCGAAAGAATATGCGGTATCTCCAAACCGTAGACAGCTTTCGCGGCTTCCGCACATTCTGAGTAAAAAAGCAAATATTTCGGTTGAGAGAAAATATATCGAGAGAGATTAAATTGAAACGGTTATTTCAAGGAAAGCTAATTGATTGTCTTTCTTTTTTTGTTTTGTAAATCACTTATCATCAAGAGATTAAAAAAGAAATTATGCGCACATACTTGCTCTCGCTAACGCTCTATCTTTTGGTGTAACTGTCGTATCGATTTCACGTTCGGTCGTCGATTCTGGTGCTGGTTGTGCTGGTTTCTTCGTAGGATTTGTCGGACAACAAACTATTGGAATAAAATGCCGATAGCCGCAGGTTTTGGCGGGCATTTGGCCTTCCTTCAAGGCCTCATAGACCGTAGAACATTCGTTCACTATCTTGCACACACCTGAGAAACTATCGGTCGAGCATCTCTCTGAAAGTTGACAAACAAGATGATGTGTAAAAGTCAGATAAGAAATAAAATAAAATAAAGAACTGAATGTAAATGAGAACGATAAAAAAAAAAAAAAAAAACCTAATAGGAACGACGAATAAAACTATTCAAATTGGCTTGTATATTCTCTCACAAGATTTTATTTTTCTTAAAAATGTAAAATAAAATATTTTCTTTATTACTCTTACTTAGTTGATTTTTATTTTCCTTTTATCACTTAGTTCTCTTGTTATTTAGTTTTTTTTTAATTTTTCGAAAAAAAAAACACTAAAGTTAATCTCTTCCAAACCTGTTAACAAGGTCAGTATGTATATCCGCTATAACGTGTTTCTAAACATGCGTGTAAATTTATTTTTAATCTCAAAGATTTGCGTCTACAAACTTCGAGATTTATGTTATTAAATCATTAAAGTATTGTTATATCATATAACTTGCGCACGATGTCTCTCGCGACATATATATCGCAAAAAATAATTGTCGACGGCTTGATTCGCACATATGTGTGAGAAGAAAAAATCCGATAAATCTTAGAAATTATTTTATGTAAAGACAAAAAAAATTTTGTTAACACAATTTCGCGACTCGGTTCTGTTTTTCGATAGATTTTCCGATTCACTGACTGAAGAACATAATTAACCGTTGTACTTCCTTCAAACGAGAATATTTTTTCTTTTAAAAACGGAAATCGTACTCACCTCCAATGTCCTGTTCATGCGACAAAGGCAAGATCAATGTTAACACCGTTAACAATAATGGTGCAGCTCTCGGCAGGCTTAATGATGCTCTCATAGCGACTTCTTGATCACGCGATCTTCTCGTCTGATCACAGACTTCGCGCGGCGATGCAAGATATACTCCCGTCCACTACTCATCCGATCTTGTTTGTGTGTACTGTTTCCCTATCCACTCATATGCATGTGCATACTGATGATCTTCCAGCGATCCCCACCAAAGCGCGATAGTTTGCACGCATGGTAGTGGCGACGACGGAGGTCGTTCTGATCAAAGACTTCGCGATAAATCGGCGAAAGATACGACGATGCGTAATTTCTCCGTATTTTATGGCGATCTTCCAAGAAAACCGTGTGTTTTCGACAAAGTTAAAACGTTTTATCACGAATTAGTATAATAAACATTTTCTCGATTATTTATCAATCGCTTACACGTCAAAATGATCAAACATGTGCGTCGCGATCGATAAATTAATTTGTTTCCTCTATTTTGTCACGTGATATGTCACGGTTCTCGAGAATATTGAATTACGACGTAACGTATACACGTTCTTTTGTTCTCTTTGTACTTGAACTTTTGCGCGTGTATCATTTGCCGGTTAAATGCCACAGGTTAACCAGACAATTAAACTGCTTTGTGTGTTTTACACAAATAAATTCTAACGAAATCCGCGGAGAGAAATTTCGATTATTTCAGTGTTCGATGTTATTCGATATTATATGAATCGAAATACGATTTTGACGGAATTGTAGTTTTGCTCGTTACTGATGTGTGTTATCTACATATTTATGTAGAATTAATTTTTATCAGGTCTACCGGAAAGTTCTGTCCGTTTCTGTCACAACAAGTTTCGACTCGTAAGCACATGTTTATTTGGCGCATGTGTGCCTCTCTATTTTTATTACTTAATGTATACATACTGACGTAGCAAATTAACTAAAACAAAGTTGATTCACGTTAGTCTTATGTGTGAAACGATAGTGTACCCGTGGCTACTGATAAAGTTCATTTACGCCACTGTATTTTATACGAATTTCAACAAGAAAGAAATGCTACAGAAGCATGTAGAAATTTATCGAAAGTGTTTGGTAAAGGTATAGTTTCTGATAGGACATGCAGAAGATGGTTCGAAAAATTCGAAACAGGTGATTTCGACCTTAGATAAAACATTTTTCAAAAATGGGATATACAAATTGCCATCACGCTGGCAAGAAATCATTAATATAATAATCGCAATTATATTATTTAATAAAGTTTATTGACGGTTTGAAGAAAAATTTGTATTTTGTTTTATTCCAAAAACAGGCAGAACTTTCCGGTAGATCTAATATATTAGTCAACGAGAAAAATTTCAACATGACAAATTGATTGGAAACGGAACAGGTTGATCTTTCTCAGGATAAACCCGAGTCGTGCAATGCAAATCGGCGACTTTTATTAAATCTTTCGCAATTTTCCGATCTTTCAGAATTTTCTCAGATGTTTGGAGTATTTGTTCAGAAATTATCTTGCGCAAAATTATGTTTTCTTTTTTTTTTTTTTTAATACGTTTACTTTAGCGATAAGTAAGTTTCACACATAGGCGAACAATATTTGAATTTTTCTTTAGAAAAATTGTAAAATGTAAAAATGCTCAATGACTGCGAATATTGCGGAGTTTTTAAGATTATTTGTTAGTTAATGAAGTGTTCAATCATTGGCAGATAAGCAACTGTGGAAATCCCGCGCTCTTACGAAGATTGTGACTATCGGAGTAATTTATAACGGATTCTGCAAGTACGTGTGTTTTGACAACTTGATAGTAGGTAGTAATGATATCGGTACGTTTGTCAACTCATATCAAATCTAATACATCGTAAGACGAATCCGATTCGATTTATTGCCGCCGATATCGCCATGTGAAACCCGTGAGTTTAATAAGATTTGTTCACATAGCATCTCGATAAGTGACATACGCGCGCGTATCCATAAACAAGACGTGTGTATATTACGCACAATGTTTCTGTGAAATAATTAATTATTCGTCATTAAGGTACACAGGTATCCAACTACTGGAAAACTGATGCAGGTATCTCTCGTCAGAAAATATACACGCGCGCGTACACAAATGCGCACAATTGTGTGTAAGCTGCAGTATTCCGATATCGTCGTATTAACGACATTTCTTCCGACAGATCGTTAACGAACGACGTTTTTATTATCGTGCACCTCATTATTCACTTCCCATTGTCGGCCGTACTTTAAAAATCAGAATTTGCCGAAAAGACCCCCGTTCGACGAGAGTGCGCTAGTTCTTAGCGTTCCATTATCTGTAAACATGCACGGATCAATTGTAATCGCGTTACTCATCGCCATTTTCTTCGGAAATTCCGCGTCACGAAAGTGTGAGGAAAGTGAGTGATGTGATTGTGCGCATAGTCAGTTATAAAATTATTATTAAGTAATAACATAAAAAGAGAGAGTGATTTTAAAAATCTGTTTTTTCTTTTTACGCCAAGTTTGATTGGCGCTACGCATTGGCGCGCGCATAATTTTAATTTAGATTGACGACATAAAAACGTGTGTATTTTGTGAGAGAGACGTGCAATCAAGTAATCATGACGCACGGGAGATAAATTAATGTGTGAATTATACGTACTTCGCGTATAGAGTACGTACATATATAGAATTCCACACGAGTAATGAGTAATATTCGTCTAACTCTGTCGTGCAAACAAAGAAAATGCACATTGAATCATGTTAATTTTCGCAAATTTTTTCTTTCCTTCTCTATGTTTTTTCCAATGGTCTGAGTGATTTTGTAGAATGCAAGGAATATGCCGATCTGGTCTACGAGACCGAAAACGTGCCGACTTTGCGCCTGAATGCCGGCTCGAAACGAATTTCTCGCTGCACCATCGTCGAGACGCCTCTGATCGTCGGCGGAGTCGCGGCGAAACCCGCAGAATTCCCGCACATGGTAAGAAACAAATATAACGAATGAAAATATCGCTGGGAAATTGCAAACAATATAAAAACAATTGCACGTACAAATTACAGCATTCAGCAATTTTTTTTTTTTATATGCGTGATACGCACTGTTTGAAAAAACTCGCGTGCGATACGTCCGTAGATCTTTGTGAAGATCGATTTCGATAGTAGATCAATTGAATTAACGTTTCGCAGGCAGTGATCGGTTACGGCAAGGATGGCGACATATCCTGGCAATGCGGAGGAAGCGTCATCTCCGAGAGCTTCGTTTTGACGGCGGCGCACTGCATGGAATCTCCGGACAGGTAATTGCTTCACCAACAATCATCATTATAACAACAATCGTATATTTCTATCTGAGTTATGCAACGTATCAATTTTCTTAATCGAGAAATACAGTATTTGTTCGAATTGAAACACCTCGTCTTATTACTACGCGATTATCTACTCGCGCGTTTTAGAGGTCCCGCTGCCAAAGTGCGAGTCGGTTTGAACGACTTGACAACTCCGGACGAAACCATGCAGGAGAGAGACATCGCGGAAAGAATTCAGCACCCAGATTACGTGTTCACAATACGATATCATGATATAGCGTTACTCAAGCTCGATCGACCGCTGGAATTTAATTCCCGAGTACGACCCGCATGCCTCGAAGTAAACTTTCAAGTGCCCGGCAAAATTGCCATCGCTTCTGGATTCGGAAAAACTTCCTACGGTCGGTGTTCTTCTTTTTTTTTTTTTTTTTCAAATTGTTCTTCATAATAATTTTTATTAATATTAGTATATCTTTTTTTTTACGTTTGTGTATTAGTTCTTTTATATCTCGAGACAGATAGCGATGTGATTAATATACTGATGCAGATTCTAACAAGGGCAGCAACGAACTGATGAAAGTTCAGTTGAATTACATACCCGAAGACGACTGCAAGGAGGGATACGCCGAGGATATCGGTACCAAACCGTTGCCACAGGGTTTGATATCGAGCCTGCTTTGCGCCGGCATAATGGAAGGCGGCAAAGACACCTGCCAGGTACGCGATTATTTTGAAAATTGTTGCAACATCCTCGAGCAACATTCTCTTTGTGTGAAAACTTGATTAATTACAAAACAATTGATTTTATATCGGTCATTTTCAGGGTGACAGCGGTGGTCCGTTGCAACGGGTTCTCGAGGATCCTTACTGCATGTACAGTATCGTGGGTGTAACGAGCTTCGGCAAGTTTTGCGCTTTCAAATCGATGCCGGCTATATACACCAGAGTCCAGTCTTATCTAGATTGGATCGAGAATATTGTCTGGCCGTGAAAAAAAGAGTAAAACTGTTTGTTTTTTGTTTTGAATAAATTTATAAAAACAACGAGAGAATCGACGTGTGAGAGATAATATTATCAATAAAATAAACAAAAACGCATTCCCATTATAAACATTATTATAACTTTTATTGCAAAAAGATAATAATCATATATTGGTATTTACAATGTTATTACCCAAACTTTGTATATACACATACGACCCGATACAATAATCACTGGAACTTATTTGACGCACTGGAAATGTATCCTAATTCATTCACAAGAACAAATACGATATAATATATATATATTTACAATTAATTTGTTATCATGCTGTAAAAATAGGACATAACATTCGATCCCTACGATTGAGATAAAAAGAGGAACAAATAAAAACGATGTCACAAACATTTGTTAATTATCTAGTGTACATTTTCACACTTTCTCGCACACTCTCGTATACGTATATATGTATATATTATAAAATTATTATAAACATTAAAAAAATATATGTATAGGGGGTAAGTGGAAAATCAACATGTATGAAGGGAAAATACGGTAAATGAAAAAAGTTAACAAGAGTTCAATCAACAGTGAGCGATAAAAAAAAAAAAAACATCTTATGGTAAACATCCGAGAATTCTTACAATTGTCCACTGAAATAAGATCCTTTCGTTGTGAGACGCGATTAAAATCTCCTTAATACGCTTATAATTTACATTTATGTACGCGCGGTTTAAGTTTTTATCAGTCTTAAAGCTCTCGAAAGAAAACAACACGCGTACATACGCGGCCGCGAGGATCTCACGCTGGGATTATTATAGAGCGCAAAGTGGCTTCCTCTTGCTATAAGACTAGCCGTTACCATGTACATTCCGCAATATTTGTTTGCAAAGTGCTTTTAATTTTAGTTACTTCGTAATTGTTTTATGTGATTAATGGCTATATAACATTTCTTGAAAATGAGAGTGGAAGTTATATAAAATGTGATATGCACTCTCTGAGCTAAAATACCTACTGATTCCGCGTGTGACACGATATGTAAAAAGAACCAGTATTTCAAATTCTATATATACAAAAAACTTAACAAAACAGTCGACGTGCTAAAGAGATATATTACACTTGTGCCCGCTTCAAGTTTAATTCATTTTTAAAGATCTCTCCCTCGCTCTTTCTCTCTTTCTTTCTCGTGACGATCATACTAGTGTGAACCATGTAGCATGTGTCTAGAGACACGATCGTATCTCGCGCTTATGTTTCTTCGCAATCAAGTCGCGCGCTACAATGAATACTAGTACATACTAAAATATAGTACATACATATATGCACAAAATCGTCGTAGACTTGATCAAATGTCGCACTACTTAAACTTATGATAACTTGTTTTTTCACATGAGTAACTTCATTCACGGAAATAAAACGTAAAATCATCTTCGTAAGAATATAATACACAAAAGTATACATATATCTTCATCATCAAGTTCAACACACTCACGCAACCGTACATTAACACTCGATATATCTCTCTCGGCAAAAAAACCTAAGGTCTAATATATAAAAAAGAGAATCTAAAAAGAAACGTGGAAAACTAATTTAATGAAGAAAAGACACATCGAAGGTCAAAACAACAACAAACAAAAAAAAAAAAATCATCCCGTTACCAGGTAAAGAAGACGTGATGCGAGAATACGGAGCTCTGTCGTTTACTCGCTTCGAAAGAACAGATCGAAAAATTTCCCATCGGCAGAGAAAGCAAACGTCGATGTTCGGCGATGCGGGGGAGACGCAACAATAACGTCTATAAATCATTAGTTACAGCCCTCTCGCGCACAGGCGGATGTTTCTCCCGGCGGCAGTTTCTACAATTTAGATTGGGCGCGAAAGCAATGTCGCCTCTGGTTGGCGCGCGTTCTGTCGTTCCTGAAAGCAAAACTCAAATTTCTAAGCAGTTGAATGTTGCTTTCGTTTTCACGCGAAAGTTAGACTAACAGAAACAAGTACATAACAACACATCACACCGTTTCGTACACACACCGGAAAAACATGCATTCGTTTTCTACTGAGAAACTCTACGAGAAAGAAACAGTTTCAGAAGGATTTTCAACGAAGTATCAACATTGTGAAAAAGCACTGCGGAAGAAAAACCATTAAAATAGTGGATTACAAAGAGTCAACTCCTCTACGTGAAAGCTTGCTGGATATATGCAAGATATAAAAAAAAAAAAAAAAAAACACTCTCGAACGACTAATTGGCAGTAAAGAAGCTTGAGTGTCAGAAAGTGGTGTCGTCGTGCCTGAACGATTTTCAAGCGTTCTCACGGAGAAGTTTTACGGAGAAGTCTCGTGAACCGATCATTAATTTGTGAATACTCAAGAAAACGATCATATAAAAATATAATATCGTCAGATTACTTTACTAAATATATCACATTGTTCAGTTCATTACGTATCTATCTTTTTTTTTATATCGATATAATTTTATTTCCTTAGAGTTTTCACAAATCAATTGGTTATAGGAACCGCTGTGCTCATCGTCGCTCTTTCTCTCTGCGAATATCTATCGCAAAAAGCTTTATCTCGCGGTTTTTCTTTGCAGTCGGAATTTACGAATGCAACATTTTCTACAACACTCGATGGCGCAAGCATTATCCAGACAATGTGACAACCAAAGTGCGAATGCGTTGAAGGCTGAAAAAAAGGCATTCGACACAAAACGCTCGAAAAAGGTAACAAGATGCAATAGCACTACGAAACAAAGTTCAATTTACACACTAAGACATACATCGTGGGATAGAGTTTTGTGCGATCTCACAAGTACTAACTACTGAGACTATGTACATATGTATTTCTCTCTTGTCATTTGTATATTCGTAAAGTAAATTAACGCATTCGATTGAGAATCTGTGTTCCGCGAAAAGGATAGTGTTAGGAATAACGAGGAAGAAGAAGAAAAAGAAGTGAAAGAGAAAGAGAGAGTGAATTCCTCTTGCATCAGAGCATAAAGAACAGGAAGAGACAAGGAAAGAGAAACAGAAAGAAAAAGCTTCCAGGAACTATAATATTGACCGATAAGACGAGATCAGCGAGATCTGACCGACGCAAAGATGAAAGCCCGGTCAACGTTGGACTTGTTTCGGATCCGGAAGGCAAGCCGAAAATCTCCAGTAATGAGAAAGTAAAGGAGGAAGAAAAGAACGTTTGAGAAGATATAACGTGCGACGATAACCGTGCTGACGAACGCTAACATAGACCTGAAGAACGGACGCTGGACGACCTCGATGATCCGGTCGATGAGACGCTGCGGGTGCTGGGATCTGAAACAGCAAGAACAAAGAGCGCGATAAACATTGATAAAAACAAGATTCAATAATGATAACATAATAATTCTAAAAAAAAAAAAAAAACTAATAAAAAATCACTTATAAAACAAAACAAGTAAAGCTAAATTTTTTATAAAAAATAGAAATTAACATGGATGAAATTTAAATAAACAAATAAAATTCTAATAATTGCGTAGACCACATGAATAAAATAAATACATGTAATACAAATAAAACAGCAATATGAAATATCGAACGGCAGGTTAATTGCATATTATATAAATATTTCAAGATATAGTACAGTTATATATAGTATCGTACATATTGATGTTTTTTCAAGAGATGTGAAAATAAATAAATACACGCGAAAATAAATATTTTGCCACGCGAAATGTACGTGTGTCCCCGAGTACGCAGAGGTACGCCTGCGGTACGCGGAACTTGGCGCATTAAAACGGTCCTCGAACGAGCGCAAGCTTGAATGCGGGAACGAGAGCGAGCGAGAGCGGATCCAGCAGCAGCAGCCGCCGAGCAACACCGCTCCAAGTTGTCGAGATTACCTCGGCCGTCCCACGCGTCTAGACGTCTTAAAGTTTTTCTTTCTTTCATTTCGCCCTTTTCTCTCGCGGCGTGTGTTCACCAAGGCGTGGTACCGCGCCGTGGCGTGACCGGTGCCCGATATATATGTACGTATGATCCCGTGTCGCCACTTCTCTCTCAACCACGCCTCGCGAACAACACAATGTGTGTCTTGCACACACACACACACACACACAGGATACACTCAGAAGTCGCGAGTGCTTCTCTCTCCTCCGCACGTGTACAGATACCAACGGCGTTTTCAATGTCGAGAGACGCATAGATAAAGAAGACCGGCTTCGACGAGCCTTTGATGCGCTCCGAGGATTAAAAGCAACTTCTCGCAGGTTCCTTTATCGCTCACAACCACGCATATCACGCGCGGGATTATATACCGGGAACTGCGGTTTCAGTTCGCGAACTCTTATCGGAACGCGCTCCGCGTTATTTACTCGACAGCCCGTGATTTGATTACTTTGTTCTAAAATTGCATCATGAGCGAAAAGACGATAAACCGGATCTGCATTCGAGGGGCGAAAGGCCATCGATTTATTTCGGCATCGAATACATCCGCCGAGTCAAACGTTGATGACGGATATCGCCAGATATTTCTCGAAAATACGACTTTAGTCAGTTACGGCGCGATATACGCGCAAAACAGGTTGTATCTCGATCGCAAATTGTTCAGCAAATTGCGCAGCATGAAATATATTCCACTATATTCTACTTTACATGAAGAAAATTACTTAAATCCTCAGGTTTTTTAGCTAATTTTATTTTTCTATTTCATCGTTGTAATCTGATCTGACGCAATTGCAATTCTCTCGTCGCGCGATTTGTCTCGTATTTCTTTCCGCGGTTCGTCACAATGTCTAAAATCACTAAAAGCCACCTGTTACATTCGTTGCCAAACGGCGAAGAAAGCCGGCGGCAAATATAGACCGATTTAGCGGCACCATACGAAGTAGGTTAACGCATTCGCACCAGGGTCGGGTTTCGCAAACACACACACGAACGATAAGTTGGTCGAACGAGTGAAAATCGAATATGTGTCTCGCGTCGGTTGAATCCCCCGGTTTTGTATCTTTAGGTCTGATATCACGCGGATCAGGGTCGAAGGCATTTCTTTTTTTTTGCAGTCAGAAAGATCTGTTTAGTTTGCGCACTTATAATGAAGCGTAACAATTATGCGATTGGCAGTGTGTCAAGGGCCGCTTTATATCCTTTTGGCAATGAACATTTTCCAAAGACCTTGCCGCTAGCTTCAACCTTGCGCTAAGTCTTGAATAGCGTAATTGCGATCTTTGCGACCTACAAGCGTGGCACAGCACTTTAGATGACAGCGCGTAAGTGGTGGAAAGCCACGCAACAAAGTACGCGGCTTGTCTCCTTGCTTAAACAAAAAATTCAAGAAAATCGAAGAGAGCGTTTGAAGAAAAAGAGAGAGAGAGAGAAAGAAAGAGCCCCGTGTGAGAGGTGAATGAATATATACGTAGTTATGTGCACATACGTAGGAGCTCCCTGAGAGAAAAGGAGAGCAATTAAAAGTTATCGTCGCTCTCGACGATAGTGAGCGTGGGCCTGGCTCCCCTTCATTCACTCGTGATTTCAGTGTTATTTATATAACATTTATCAACGGCAGATTTATACGTCGCTCGCTCTCATTGGCCATCTCGACTAAAACACACTTACACAGTTTGGCAATTCGACATTTTAACTTTCTGCGTTAAACTTTTCGAGAATCGAGTATAAAGATTCAAGATTGCGCATTTATACTCTCGCGGATCTGACCATTCGTTTATACGCGAACGACGTTTCGTGACCGCCGTGTACCTTTTAACGGGAAAGGTCATCAAATTTCTTTTCCCAAATTTAAAAAAACGATTTCTCCATTTCCAAGTTTGTGAATTTACATTTTGTTCACACACACACAAATTCTGTGTGGCGAGAAAATGAATTCATAAAAACGATAGAAAAACGAGCGAAAGAGAGAGAGAAGAAGAGAGGAAAAAAGATACGGGCGAGCAGAGATCGAGAGAGAAAATAAAATATCGGTATGTGTCTTGTCATTGCGTGGTAACAACCTTTAGTTAAGGCGATTAGAGTCGCGCGACTCCCCGGTTGTGTGCCTGTTATCGCGTCTCGGCAACGTCGGCGGTCTATGTTATTTATAGAGAGAAAGTCGCAAGCCACGACGACGAGCATATATTCACCGCTCGCAGAGAGGAAAGACACGTAGCTTCGCGTCTGAAATTCGCGTCGCGGTATTGTGTGAAGAAAATGCAAATTTCCGCGCTCGATTTCCAAAGATTTATAAAAAAAAAAAAAAAAAACAGCGCGCGCGAGTGAGAGCCGTGTCCGAGAAAAATATTTCGAGCATCCCCTTCGGGGAGGAAGAAAGCTCGTTGCACTTGTCCGTTAATAATAGATCACGCGAGAAGCGTCGGTACTATTCCGTCTGCGCGCGAGACCATAGAGCGTAAATAGACGATAGGGTACTTGCGTTACATATCTCTTAGAAGCGAGATCGTTAGAACACAAGGAAATAGCTTTCTGAACTTTCCGAGAGTAGAGACACCGCTCACACCCATTACGCCGTTTATCAACCAGCAGACCCGAACGGGGAGTCTTTTGACTTTCATTTGCTCTTCTTGTTTCACGTCGTCGCGTGCAAAGAGAGAGACTAGTCCGCAAAAAAAAAAAAAAAGGAACTTAGACTTAGAAGTAGAGAGCAGGAGCGTTCGGTTCTGATAGTTCGAGTTTCTCAGTGAAAGTCAATGGTCGCCGGAGGAATCAAATGTGAGGAACGTGATAGGAAATTCGATGCGTTTGAACGTTAGTATTAAGGACTTCGGCGGAATTTCAAAGAAAAAAAGTGAACGTTACCTTTTCTGTGATTTTATATAAGTGATCACGAAATGCTCGATACGGAATATTTACCACGATCCTTTTATTGCGATCTATAAATATATCGGTTGAATAAATTTGTTATTTCAAAATCTTTATCGCGACCGTTGTTTCCTTTTAGGAGCGTTTATCGAAAAAATAAGTGTATTTAGAGTCGGCGAAATATTCTTGTATAGAGGACGAGGAGAAAGAGAGAGAGAGAGAGAGAGAGAGAGATAAGTCGAGAATCGGGGGCTTACCGTGCAGATTGTGTTATCCGTGCGCGGAGTGGTCCGCACCACTCTGCGCTGTCTCGTTATCAACGTCCCGTTGTTGGTTTTTCTGCAGAAACGCGCGCTTGTCTTATTTCCTCGTTCTTTCGAATTCGGGATCGTCGTCGCGCAGCTTCTCCCCTCTCGTGTTCTCGTCCTCACCCACTTCACTCCCGTCATCACTGGTGATTCTCGCTGCTGCCTAGCTGGATGCCTTGGATAAGTGGTCCCGCGTAATCTACGTCTCGGCGGATTTTACCAGAGGAAGGAACACACTGGAAAAGTTTTGTGTACAGCTTCGTACAGATGATTTTTAATCAAATTCACATCAGAACGAGGGGGCACGGCCTCCTCGCCGAGAAATTCACCAATAGGGAGTATCGTTTGTCAGATGATGCCAGGACGCAAACTCGCTCCAAGTGCGCATGTTTAATCTGGTGGCTTCGGAAATACGCGGCGTGCCGTTTTTCGTCTCGTCGTTGTTCGAAAGTCCGTTGCAATTCGTCTGGCTGTTGTCGAGTCGCGCGGTCGGCACTCTTGGCTGAAACCACACGTATAATGTGCATTTTATCTCCTTCAGAGATTCCGCTCTTTTCGACACAATTTATTAACTATAAAAAAGAAAAAAAATAATTTCATAAATATATAAGAAATATGATTTATTTTTTTCCAAAAATTTTTCAGCAATAAGATGCGATAAATTTTAATATTTATTGATAGGAAGCAATCTCTCAAAAGCATCTTTTTCTTTCAATATCCGTTGACGGTACTTGAGTTAGAGAACACATTTTTCAAAATTGACGAACGAATCGTCGTTGCTTGAAAACATTCGACAAAAATATTGATTATTCTTCGCAAATACATGTCTATAAATAGAACCAAGTATTTTTTACGAGGTTTGTTATGCAAACAAACCGTCAATCACGGAAAGAAACGTCGTACGTATTATACGTATTATGTCAAGGTCTACAAGTGGCATAACCGATATGTGTATTTGACAAATATTAAAAAGTTAATCATGTTTTTAGCTGTAGATTGAATTAAAAATCATTTAAAGTTTGAGATAAAAAGCGCTCTCACCTCCTGCTTCTTGCGAATCAAATAGTTTTTGCCGTCGTAGTTGTCCCACCATTCCTTTCCATCGGTGCGGTATCGCACACAGAACTCGATGATGTTTGACGCTACAGGTAAGGTAAGTCGGAAGCGGAAGGTGTCGTACAGGATTAGAGCACCGGCTGACCCCGGTTGCTCCACGTACGTGCAGTAAACGTCCTCGTGAGTGGTCCAGGAGTCATTGCTGACTCTCACCACAACCTCCTTGTCGTACGCGAGATTTCGCACCTTCACCGTGCCGATCAGGCATTGCTCGGACTCGCGCAGAATGACGTTCTCCAGGCAGACGTTGTTCTGATCGAGCTTCTGACGGAAAGCGAGATAGTCGCTCGCCGGTTGCGGAAAGGTCAGCTGCCAGGGCGGCGTTGTGTCTTGCGCCGTGTCCTGATCGTGGTCCTTCGACGAACTGAACAGCAGACCTCTGGTCAGACCGGCTACGTAAGCGGTGCTCCAGAGCGGCGGCATGTTGCTCGGTTCGGTCATCACGCGAACCTGCGCAATTAGTCAAAAATTGTTGAAAAATAAGAAATCTACACAGATATACGCGATTCGCGAAAAAAAATAAAATTAATGTCACCTGCGTGAGCGGACGACCACGATCGTCGGCAAACACCACTCGTTTCTTCTGCTTGCTGCCATCGTTACTATTCCGCAGTGAGTCCAGAGGCAAGGATCCCGAGGAGAGACACGGTCTGATTCTGCGTGACACGGATCTGTTGGTTATCGTGGGCGCTGTTACCACGAGGGGGCTGTACAGGAAGGAGCTGTACACCGGAGGACTGTGCCCCAGGATCAGTTCGGCTGGCATCGCTATCGAACACATTTAGACCTGCGAACACACGAATAGAAACATTTATTTATCACCATTTATTTTGCGTATTTAGGTAACATCGATAGAAATAAACTTTGTTAGAGGAGTTTGTGATTTTGTATTTTCTACTTTTCTGAACAGGTGCAGTTCTAATAACGGAAACGGTCGCTAAATAAATTGTTCGCGAGAAACCAGATAATACTGGAACTGTGCCACTTTTAGCACTTCTGCTCTCCGGTAAAATTTTATTGGCGCCGCTATACTGTTGATATTAATTTCACCGTGGGCGAAATTGTGTCTGATGTACAGCGACGATATCAAAATCGCGAGGAACGTCTCGCGTCTGCCAGCGATTTCATCAACCGTTCGGATCATTCCTAGATCACGTGGATCACGCACAAATAATATTCAATAAGATATATCGATCAAAATGCCAATCGTAGATCGATTACATACATAAGACATACATAATATATGTTTCATCGATTTCCCAATCGCATTCCCTTCGCGATGAAAACAATCGATGTGCAAATTCATTGGTATATGTATGATAAAGACGACGCGGACGCGATTGACATTAACATATTTCTGTCGAATTATCAATTATCGAGTAATCAAACGCAGATAACGACCAGCCTCAAAATTATATTATCCAGCTATCTATTCGCAATATATCTCGCAAAATAATCCTATTTTACAAATTTCGTCAGATACGATCTGTCAAAGTGCAGTGTTAACAAACTGAGTCGCGAGACGCGATAGCCTTTAATTGCGATATCGTAACACCCGGCAGTCTAACAATAAATAAAAGATCCGTTTTATCTCGTAAGAAAGATATAAGCTCGAGATAAAATTATGCAGGAAATACTAAAATAATTTTACTCAAAAAATGTTACGCCTGTATAATTTAATTAAATAAACGACATATGTCTTCATTTATTTTGCACATAACAATTCTATCAATCGTGTTGTGAAATTTTTAAATAACGCAAAGAGAAGATCTTTTATCTTCGCCCGAGCACAAGGTCGCGTTACTGCACAACCTGCGGCATTCTATAATGCCGCAAAAAAACCACAGAAAAAAAAAGCTAATTATTCCACTTCAACTCTCGTTAGAGCTTATTATAATTTACGGCATGCGAGAACGTCGGAGTTCTGCGCACGTAATTTTGCCGTTTGATACAGTTTTGCGTGTCGGCGCGACAGCGCGGCGGCCATACACGTGTAATCATGTTACTCGCGGAGTAGAATTACGACTCGCGAGTGCGGCAACCGGCGGTCTGGTCCTTGCGCTCTTCTTTCTCGTCGGAGGACCGGTTTCTGTCGCGCGAGGAGCAAACCGCGAGAGGACACACAGATACGTACCAGACCGAAACTGAACGACAGCGCGCGGACACACTTGGGAATCGGCAGACCGTGAATCTCGGTGTGTATGAGAGAGGTTCAGATTTCACAGTAACAAAATTACCACTTAAATCGTGCGCTTATCTTTACACGCACCAAGGAAAATCGATCGTAACACGGAAGCTACAACGAAATCGGCGTCTGGAAATCATCAGATCGCGACGCGCTCGAAACGATCGAGCGAGATTTAATTGACGCACTCAGGCGTTTAATTGCTATTTATTTGTTCGTTAGAGTTCACGAGATCGTTCATCTCGCGCATAAGTCAGGATCGAGGTCGACGCGTGTCATTGTGTTACTGTGTGCTTCATCTGTCAATATCCGTCTTGTAACTCGGATTTGTTTGGTCTAAACGAATCGCGCAAACAATTTTATCGGTCGCTCTCTGTTAAATATTATTTGCCCGTAATTTTCCGAACCTTGCTAGAATTGCTATCAACATGTCAAATTGACACGCAGTTGTGATGAAATCGATTATTTAACTCGATTTTTTCTATGGCATAATATAATAGTAATTGCATCTGTATGAAGCGTATACATGTATATTTTTAATGATAATTAAATATATATTTAATTGTTATAGCAGTAATTTTTATATGATACATTTCAAAGAAATAAAATTGTCGATGTGAAAAATATTCAGTTTCTTAAACATAATTACACGGCCAAGTTCCGCGTATTGTATTAACGAAACTTTTTACATTTGTATCTCAAATAACAGTTATGATAATCTGCATTTATCTTGGGAGCCTGTTTCAAAGTAATAAGTCTTGGACACGCCTCGTTGCACTTGTATTCATCGGCTCGACCACGATCGCAACAGCCGTTTGTACTTTCCTCCTCAGGTGCATCGTCGCGTGCACAGGCGTGATATATTCGGCCGCGATATTTTTATCGTTCCCGAGGGTAGAGTGAGAGAGAAAGAGAGAGAGAGACCACCACGAATACGAACTTCAACTCACGATCTGCGATTGTCTGCCTCGTTACATCTCTATTCACGGCGAATTGTATTTTCTCGACGTGTCATCGCGCGCCGACATTCGTCCGTGACACTTTTTTGTCATGCGAGAAGAAAAAAGAAATCGAAAAGCGAAACGAATCGAGCCCACGATAATTAATTTGCACGCATATGTTTGCGCGTCTGCTCAGTTAGAGACGCGGCCGAATCATTAAAAATCCTAAGAATTTGAACTCGGGATCTCACAGTTCCTGCACTCAGACTGCGAGACCACTGGACCGGTCTGTAAATAACAGACATCTAAAAACTTCAAGTCACACGAGTTTTTTTCCGCTGAAAAAATAACAAAAACTTATTTAAAACACTTACTGTTTTCAAATTATCTCGACAACCACGCATCTTGAAAAGAGCTCGTCTCTCATCTCAAATTACAAGGTCCCATATCTTGTAACGCGAAACCAGAACGAGCGTTTAAGTTCGGATGATTCCGGAGAAGAGAAAAAAAAAAGATCACCTAATTGAGAGTTGTCAGAATTAAAAAAAAAAGCCTGTCTCGTGTAACTTTCAAACAAGTTGTCCATCTTATTACTCGATCGCACAATTATGTTAACGAGCACAGATCGTTGAGAAGAATCTTAAAATGTTACATATAAAATCAAACTGCAAATGTATAAAAAAAAAAAAAACGCTATTTCAACATTTTGGCAAAAAAGTCTTCTGGCGTTTAAATGTGGCGCGGTGTAAAATCGCGATTACGCGATTTTTTTTCTCTCGTCGGCGAATGAACACCATCCGATCTCGTGACTCAATGCGGAAAATTGCGCAGTCGCGCAACTATTTCGGACATTCTCGCAGTCAAATTTAGAAACGAAGCCCAGCGCCTTTTTGTGCGACTTGTGTCGTGAAGAAGCACGTCACGGCCTTGGATCCGGTCCAATCTCGTTCGCGCTGTCTAAGGGAGTAGATATAAACCTCTACTCGCGGGACACTGTCAAAGTGAGCGGAAAAGCGACGCGGCTCAGCCTAATTACGAATTGCTCGAAATAGGGAACCTTAACCCCGCGCGGTCATAACATTTGCTCGCGAGCTTCACGAACGCGATGTGCTGAAGATCAAAATTTTGTGTATTTTTATCCTTCAAAAATTGTCCCTCTCTATTCGTTTCTTTTTTTCTAGCACATAAATAATATTTATAAAAAAACCTGATTGACCAACATACATGTCGCACATCGTGTAATTTTTACTCTTATATCTTTGTAAAAAATCTGTTTACATCTTTGAGAGTTTTACACAATTGTGGAAAATTACAACTGGCAATGTGCGACAAAAAGTTTTATACATCTAACATATATATAAATATTATTATGAAATTGATGAAAAATTTTAATCTAAAGTCTGTTTGTAAATCCCCAAGTTCACGGCCGCAGATATCGTTTTGCAGTTTGTTCGCGGACGTAATCTCACATGTTAACGCCATGTGACACGGGCACACACTCTCTCTTTCTCTTTCTCTCTGTCTTTCTCGTGTCGTCGAATCATGAATCCGTCAGTAACATGTAATGTATACAACGAGCACGAGACAGCTCGCGCAATCATGTAAAAAAACCACCATATCTACATTGATGACAAAACTGAAAAGAAAAATTATCGAGTAAGCGAATTTTCTTCTTCGATTTTTAATAAATCGTAATATTTACCAAGAGTTCAACTAAACAAATCGAGATAAAACGATCTGTCTTCACTTAGAATATAAATCTTGCTAATTTATCTAGAGTGATAATACATGAGAGACTTATCTTAAAACAATGATATTCTAAGTGGATAGTATACTTGTCTGTGAGAGTTGCACAAATAATAGCCTTTTCCTCCCATAACGTTTCTCTACAAACATATGTCGGTTTGTAGTTAACATTTTTATCTCTTTCACACAGAACACCCTACGAAAAGATACGATCCGTTTATTGACTTCGTTAAATGAAATAAAGGGGGAGCGACATAGACGTCTTTTGTGCAATTGTTTTTTATCAAGAGAATGGAATCTGTCCCATAAACTTCTCTTCTCCTACGTCACTCTGTCCCATAAATCTCAATACGGCTCTCTAAACACGTTCTATTTATAACATAATATCTGGTTCGTTAGCGACTCGGAATAAACGGAAGGTATATGATAGATATCTGACAGCTCATCAAGAACTTTAAGGGGGGCAAAGGATGTGAGATTTAAGACTCGGGTTTTAAGCTGCGCGATGACGTAAGTCATATTACGCGCACCAAGCTTATATAAAAATATATTGTCGCGTATATATATATATTTTGCACGTATCTCACATATTGCCCGGAGAAATCAAGAATATTATCAAAAAATGATTGTAAAAATAATAAAATTGTGTGATTGTATAGAATTAAAATTTTATGGAGAAACAATAGGAAGTGGAATATGTTGCGGAAACGTTGCTACTTCTAATAGTACGAATGTACTTATGAATCTATTGATTTATTTTATCACATTTTTCTAATATTGACGTTATCGTGTAAATTTACACCCATGTGTGTATACTGACAACGTTTGCAGGAAAAAAAATTTCAGCAGCGCTATAATATGATTTTTATACTGACAAACATTTTCGAAATTAAACAAGAAAATTTCATCAATGTG